CCTTTTGACCGCCACTGAGGCTGACGCCACGCTCACCGACCACAGTTAAATCCCCCCTGGGCAGCAGCTCCATGTCGCGTTCCAAGGCGCACGCCTTGATCACCTTCTTGTACCGGCGCTCATTGTAGTCCTCCACAAAGACAATATTGTCGCGTATGGTGCCCTCGAAGACCCACGGCTCCTGTGCCGCATACGATATTTTGCCATGAACTAAAGCCTCGCCCTGATCAATGCCCACCTCGCCGAGCAGCACGTTCAGAAAGCTGGACTTGCCCGCACCAACGGGACCCACGACAGCTGTCAATGTCTGATCCTGAATATCGGTGCTGAAGCTATCGATGGCGCAATTGGAGTGGCCATCACTTGCGTCCCACGAGGCGGTAACATTCTTTAGGATCACACACTTCTGGGTCGCCTCGGGGCAATAGTCGCGCAGCCGATTAGGCGGCTGTGCTTGCGTCATCTGCGGCTGACCATTGACCAGCAGCGAGCCGTTGAGCTCCAAATTTTTCAGTTTGTCCTCTTCCGTTAGCTTGCGCTTGTTCTTAGACTGCTTGGCGTCGGCCTCCAAATTGATGGGCACCTCGGCCTTGTCGCCATCCAGCAGAAATTCCTTGCAGCGTCGCGACGATACCAAAGCCTCCGCTATGAATGTCAAAGATAGAGGCCAAAAGTGCACCATAGAGTCGTTTAGCATGTTGAAGTAGGAGGAGACCATGTAGACCTTCTTGGCGGTCAGCGCGTCACCCAAATATACATATGAGCACAGAGCTAGAAACACGGATAGCGGGGAGATCATCGAAGTGCAGCTGAGCGCTGCATGAATGTAGGCGGTGCCGCGTATGGCCTTCACTTCCTTGAGTCGAACCTCGGCAACGACGCGTGCAAAGGACTTCTCCCAGGCATACATTTTGATCACCTGTATGCCCTGTATAATCTCGTTCATTAGCTTTACGCGCATGTCTGTGCGCTCCGCCGTCTTCTGGCGATAATAGGCCGCCTTTTTGGCTGCCCACGCCTGTAGCGGTATAAAGCTGAGCATAAAGGAGACGCCTATGACAGCGGACATGCCGATCTCGCGATACATCAAATAACCAATGAGTATCGATTCCATTGGTCCCTTCCATGTGTCATGCAGAAAACATAGCGCCACATCGAAGCGTCCCAAATCGTTGGACAGTATGTTGATGGCGCGTGCGCGTAGACCATCATTGCTGCTGCTCTTGGAGACCTGCAGGCACTTGCGGTAGATGAGCCCTGAGAGGGCTAGGCGCAGTTTGGTGCCCACTTGAAATATATAAAAGATGAACGGATGAAATGTCAACACAGGCACCAGCATGCACACCACAATGCCGAGCGCATAGCAGTACGCCTCCGACTCGCTTATCGTTGTCTGATCTGCCGCAAAATAACCAACCAGACAGCCCAGAAACAAGGGCATTACGGATCTGCAATTGAAAATCAAGAATTAGCTCTATTGTCTATCATATATCAGTTGTTGTGCATACTTGCAACAGGACTCGACCATGGAGAAGGCTATGCCCAGCGGCATAAATACGCTGCCATATGCACGAAATATCATGCGCACGACGCTCGGATTGCTGCGTTTCTTCTCATCCTCCCACAAGTCGCTGAACTTGCTCGTCACGCGCTCGCTGTCCAGCGTTTTTCGATGCTGATACAGCTCCTCATCTGTGAGTGGGCCCTGTAGGCCGCGCTTGAACAGATCTCGCATCCACCTGAAATTAATTGAGACCTTAATTAAATTCATTCAAAATACAAAAGGCGTTACTAATCGTTAAATACACATTTGTTTCTAGAAATACCATTTGTCGAGCGACCACTGTACTTTGATAAGACAAAAAATATACTCGCTATAACTAATTACATTTGTGTACAGTTTTTATGGGGCTTCATTAATGATTGTTGTTCTGATTTTCAAGGTCTAACAGCAAGTTAATTTGTAATTAACTAAGCTTCTGAGCTTTATATGTTGTCTAGGTACTAAAACAACATCTATGCCCTGCGACTGATAAGTCAGATAACAAGCTCGTTATTACATTGTTATACATTCCTAAAAACTACACCTAATCATATTATGCAAATAAACATTTTACGGTTTTATGAAGTGTTATTAACGCCTTTATCGATAAACAGCATGTTGCTAAGGCTTTAAATTCTTTGGAGATTATAAAAGCGTGAAAATTTTTTAAATTTTCTAACAACAAAGTCAACAAGATGAACATATTTTCGGGCACTGGAGTTTAAATATCCCTTCTGGCATGTAACAGCTGTTAATGGTTAACAGTTCTGTTAACTTATTAATATGTGCTATGTTAAACATTTTTGTGATCATAAAATATGCGTGATTCCCGACCACTTGTTATCATATTTTTATATACACCCTAAAATAGCTTTTGATACTAAAATAAACAACTGTTTGCATGGAAACAAACAATATATATTTAGTAAAAATATTATTAAGTATAGGTAGAAAATTCACAACATAGTTGTTAATAAAAATAAAATAAAAAAATCCAGATTACTGCAGTTTATTGTATATCATATACAATATTATTCGATTTGTAAGCCATATTTATTCAATGCCTTTTTAATAAAAATCTTCCAAAGTAATTTTAATCAAAGTGAACATATGCGCGTCTGTACACTGTACATATATGTATAAGCTATATGTACATCCATATGCACGAATTAATTCAGTACATTTGTAATTGCTTATATACTGATAAGAATATAGCCTTCACAGCCCCAGTGACATCTAATATGTATGATTTATGAAGCAAAAAACACAATTTCCGTGAAATTTGCCCGGTAAAAAAGTGAGAAGACGGTGAATAACCTCTGCAAAAACAACAATTATTGCTTACACCTAAACGCCTATATACGGTATGTACGCACATGTGTGTGGGATCTATGTGTGTGAGCACATATATTGGCAGTGTTGCCAGCTTTTCAAACGAGAAACGGCTAGTCTAGCGGGAGAAGGAGATTTCTGTGCTTTCTATATATTGGTTTTATATAATTTCAATATTTACTTGGCGACTCTCTGCTTTATCATAAATATTTTTATTTCGAAAAATACCACTGACAGCTGTTTTTTTTTTAAATTTGTTCGCACTAAAAAAGCTAAATTTGGCCAGAAATAAGCTGAGCTGACAACACTAAATATTAGTAATAGGTACATACATACACACATGCATAAATGCATGTGGATGGACTTTAAATACAGCTTGACACGTGCTATCGAGCTGAGCATGAAAATCGGCCTGTGCACAAAGTACATATACGATTTACCGTTAATGCTGCGCTCATAACTAACATGTGTGTGTGTGTGTTATGGCTGCGCATGTATGGGAACGTTAGAGGGGAAGAACCAGAACTTGTAACTTACCAAAAACTCCATTGTGAGAATAGATTTGCATTTGTGTAGGGATTTTTTGGACGTACAATCTTTCTTCTGGTACGGTTCATAATATGCGATTCGTTCTGTTTATTTTAGGCGCAATTTATATCAGTTGCGCGTTTACCGTTACGCCACCAAATTACAAGTAAAACGCAAATCGAGCTGGCGTTTGCTGCTTCCTCTTTGCAATTGACTGCTTTATTAATATTTTATGCACACTCACTCTCTGCCCACAGCAATTTACATATATTAATATAATGCATATACATATATATGTATATATACTGCCGGCAACAACACTGCTGCTGTAAATTGTCTAGGGTCGAGGTCAGTAACGAATTTTATTTCGTTTCCACTTCTCATTCAGAATTAACCGTTTGTTGCTGTGTTTGACCTGGCAACAAACAAAGCAAAGGCAAATGCAAACTGCAATTTGCCGAGAAATCGCCTTTGTTTCGTATGGTAATCGAACAGTTGAAACTCACACACACACACAAATAACAAGCACTTTAAATTTAGTCGTTGCCTTCTGTAATTAATTATAATTTACACAATTATTACGCGAAGAATAACAATGTGTAATATTAGCGAACCGATGCACGTCTTTTCGGTTCGATTTCTGAAATGGCAATGGTAGAATTGATGAGAGCGATAGAAAAAGAAAACTTTTGAATAAACCTCAGCCGAAAAGAGAGAGAAAGAGAGCACTAATGCGTGCTGCCTGATTGCTACTCTGTTTTCGACGCTCCGGCAACTACACTACGTCACCCTGTTGGTCACTGCTGTTGAAATATATGGTGCGTATGTGTTTTAAATTAAAAAACTGTGCTATGATTGGGCACAGTGAAATTTAAGGACTGTTTTATTAATTGGCTTCATTTCAATTGACATTAAAAACTTAATACGAAAAACAATGGCATTGTATATTATTATATACAACTTTCTATAAATCGTACATAGTTTATTTTGAACGATTTAATACAAATATATGAAATATGCTGGTAATAATAAATTAATAGTTGACACAAAACGTACCCAAATAATAAATTAAATTACACTTTATTATTTTCGTGTAGAGAACAAACAATAATATTTAAAATCAAATCCTAGCCCAAGTCGTCACGGTTGTAAGTGTAAGAACGCATCGGCTTAATGCAAATGTTGCATTTTTTGACTTGTTTTAATCGAGTTTTCTCGCTCTCTGAGGCATAACCACAGCGTCGGAGTGTGTGTATGTGTGCGTGTGTGTGAGAGACCGCATCCAACGGTTTCATAGCAGTAGCCAGAGCGAGACAGCGAATTTGTTTGTCAACGGCAATTTAAAAATTTGAGCGCGAGCGATTTCCAAGCATTGTGAAATTGACAAAAATAAAAATAAAATATAGGCGTGTTTGCTTTGGTACACAAACACGGCAAAAAAAAAAAAAAAAAAAAAAAAAAAGAAACAAGAAACAAGAAGCCGGCAACAGCGATGCTCGAAAGTATTTTGATAAGATGCTATCATTTCACCAAATTAGAAAATTTTTTGACAATTGAGTCATTGAGCTTGGAGTCCCTGAAAATACGAATTTCTTTTACATCATAAGCGATGAACATTTATTATGGGTAATTATGGATTAGCGTTAGTTCTGTGTATTTTTTTTGTTGTTGTTTAGTAAATTTGGTGAAAAATACATTTGAATGCAATATTGAAAAACCAAAAACATGTTTACTTAGATAATGACAAACAACATGCCCATTTAATCCTCAATATATTCGAATGGCTCTGGTGGCTCGGGTTCCTTATCATCATCGTTCATTGGACCAAATGCAGCGACCGGTTCGACCAGTTCCTGATCTTCGGTTTTGCCCGTATGCTGGAATACAATGATGCCGCCAATTGTCACATCTTTCATGGGCTCATAGAACTGGCCATCGGCAACGCTGAGCACCTTGAGCTGTTGGCGCAGGGCACGTGCCGGATTCTGTAGCATTTCGAAAGCGGGTTCGGGCTCCTTCTTTTCCTTCTTGTCCTTTTCTTTGTCCTTTTCTCCAGCCACGCTGGTGCTGGCCTCCTTATCCTTATCGTCTTCCTTTTTCTTTTCCTTATCATCCTTCTTCTTGGGCTTGGACTCCTCCGCTGGCTTGTCGTCAGCCTTAAGAGCTGTTTCGGACTTCTCCTCATCCTTTTTGCTGCCTGCAGCGGCGCTCTCCTTGCTGTCCTCATCGACATCCATTTTCTCGTCCTCCTTCTTGTCGGCATTCTCGCGACGCTTCTGTCGTGCTGCAATCGAGAGCACAGCCGTGGCCACCTTCTCGCGTTCTTCACTCTTCTTCTCCTCCAGTGGCGCTGGGTAGGCATATAGTGATGGCTTCGCCGCCGATCTATACTCCATCTTGGGCATCTTCAGATCCGAATTCAGACCAATTACACAGGTGGGCGTAAATGCCAGCGAGAGCGTGTGCGCCAACGGGAACCAGTACCAGTACTGGGTGAAGGCCAACATGCCGACCACAGCCTGCAGGTTGGTGTGTCCAGTGCGTGATTGCAGCGAGAGTGTGGCATTGCGACCGCCAGCATCGATGATGCCTGCAAGCAATAGATCAAGAGGAAATATTAAATAAGACACTTGCATGGAATCAGGTGTATGTCACCCACCTTGTGCCAAAATGGCACCATATTTGGCCATGACATCCTCGTGCTTGTTGCTGATGACTTCGGCGTACAGCTGGCGGAAGAAGGTGCTCTTGGGGCAGCTCAAGTCTGTGTGCTGGATGAGTATCATGGCGGATGCAATAAGCGCACCCTGACGCACAAAGTTCACAGGATCAAACTTGACCATGGGCTCCAGCAAGGCAATTGCCTCACGCAGACCAGTGCCGGCGCAGGCAATGCCCAGCGCCATGGCGGCACCATAACGCACATGCGGATTATATGACTCGGCAAGCAGACTAACCACCGATGGGCACTGCTCCGGCGTGCGGAACAGAATGAAACCAATCGCCGTGACAGCAGCGCGACGCACATCGTCATTTACATCAGAAACGGCCACATGGAGCAGCTTGCGTATGGCCTTGTTGCTGCCGGTGCCATTGTAGGCCATCGCCAGGGTGTACATGCCCGAGCGACGCAAGACGGGATCCTTGTCGGTGGAGAGGCTGGTGACAAGCGGATCGGCCTCTTCCAGGCGCGCAAACATGGTCAACGAGATGCCAACAGCCAGGCCACGCAGAATCTTTTCGTGCTGCGTCTCCTGCGCATACGATACCATATCCTCGATGGCCTGTGCATTCTTGGAGCCCAGCATAACCATGCCCATGGCAATGCCAGCTGCCTCGCCAGTAACAGCATCGTCCTGGTACAAATTAAACTTCAATTGTTCGTACAGATCCTGGCGATGGGTGCCCATGCCGGCTAGGCCCAGGCCCAGGCAGCCACCATGGCGCACATTCTCGTTTTGGGAGTCTTTCAGCTGCTGCAGCAGGTAGTCAATTATATTGGCGCCATGATTGGCATGTATCAGACCCAGGGCGTACAGTGCGCCACCCTCGGAGTAGCCAGAGCTGGGTCCAGCCTCCTTGGGCAAATAGCTTTGCATGAGCGCCAGCGAATCCTTTTCGTGTCCGCGATGTATCACACCCAACGAGGCGGTAGCTGTTAGCTTGGCCCAATTTGTGGCACGTGCCAACCAATCCAGATTGTCGCGCAGGAACTGATCCGAGGTGGTGCCGCTGTGCATGAACGCATTCGCGATGACAGTCGCCGTGTGGCAAATGGACACACGCACCGCCTCCTTGGTGCCGCGCAGTATCTGCAAATCGGCGTGATTGCTGCGTATGAGAAACTGCAGCTGCAGATCTATGGACACTTCGCCGGAGAGTATGGAAATTAGCTTCTCAATATTCTTCTGATGAAGCTTTTCCATGTCGTTCAGCGAGTCGATGGTGCGCTCAATCTTGACATCGCCTGTAAAGCAAAAATGAGGGGGTAAATCATGAAAAGCTGTCGACTATAGTCTTCTTTTTTATATCAGAGACTCGTAAAGAGATTTATCTTAAAAGGCAAAGACAGCCAAGCTGGGAATTGCTGAGCTTGGTCAAGATATATAATATTTAAAAGTTAAAAAAAAAGTTCCGCTCACCATCTTTATCCTCGATGGTTTCCATGCTCTCATCGCTAAGTAATTTGGCCTTCTCATCATCAGATTTGGCAGCGGCATCGCTACCGTTTGCTGTGGTGCCCTGGGGCTTGAATGTGCTGGGTAGGGCTGTGGGTATGGGCGCAGTATCCTTGAGTGCCTGGAGCACGTTGCCCAGGAACTCCTGTGTCGCAGACTCGTACAGATCGAATGCAATTTGATAGGCCATCAGATTGTTGGCCTCGACGGAGGAGCCGGTCAACTTGTCCAGCATTTCGGCAACGGCCAGGGGATCCTCCAGAAAGATCAGACACTGGCACATGTTCACATAGTCGGGCACACCCAGTTCTCGATAGAGGCCAACCAGGCAGCGCAGCACCTGATTGCGAAAGCCGCGATTCTGGAGCAGCGACATGGTGACATTGTAGGCATAGGCCAGCATGCCACGGACATCGTCCGACTTCATGATGGACACCTCAAAGATGTCCATGCGACGCGTTTCCAGTGCAATGCCAAGTGCCTGACGGTACTGATTGTCGTCCAGGCAACGTTGAATCATGCGATTCACAATGGCCTCCAGACGCTCATCCACAGGCTTTGCCTCCTTGGGATTCTCAATGAAATCAACGCGTTGCGCAATATAGAAATCAATGCATTTGGCAATGATTGTCTCAGTGTACTCGTTGCGCGCATTCACATCGAACAGATCGCCAGCGCCCAGCGCATATGTGAGTGCATCCTCAAAGGAGCCCAGATGATAGAATACCTTGGACGCAACCATGCCAGCAAGTTTGTTCTCTGGAAATGCTCGGTCCTCGTGCAGCATTTCAATTTTCTCAATTGACTCGGATATTTCCGGCCAGAACTCATCCACAATGTTGTCCAGCTTCTTTAGGGCGAAAACCTTGAGATCTGGCATCGGTTCATCGAGTAGGGATATTATCCCCGCGGCGGATGTGAGGCTCATTTTTTGCTTGCGTTGATTTTTCCCCCAATAATAAATATGTTCTACGAAAGTGTACGTAACATATGATTAATTTGAATCCAAAAACTGTCTGATTATAATTGAGACAAGTAATTTTTTGCAGTACTAACCAACGATTGCAGTTTTTAATATTACACAGACTTTTCTTTTATGCCGAAAAAACGCTAAATCACCAATCGTTGTAGTGCTGCACAATGCTGGCTGTGTACATGAGTGTTGGAAAGCGTGCGTTATGCAGTGTTGTTCATAAGAATAGTTAACACGAAGTGGCAACACTTTAGCAATTGTTATCGATAGCTATCGACATACATAATTCCCCGCAACTTGGCATCGCAGCAACAAAAACGCGCGAACAACTGGCGCAAGCGAACACAACACATAGTTTTGTTTGCTGAACGCACGTAGTTAACGCCCTCGATTACTTTATATAAATAAACAATAAAAATTGCAACAACATGATGTGTGAGGATCAACTCATGTCTGTGGATGCAACACCGATTAAAGGCGCAGGCAGCCTAAATTCCTCCGGCTCGTCCATTTCAATGGACGCAAAACCACTGAACAGTTGGGCCCAGGAGGTTCGCGCCGAGCTGGGGCACAGCGACGAGGTAATTGATGATCTTCAAACCATATGCAGAGCCAGCTAACTAGTTGTCAATTCCAGGCATCGTCGTCGTTCAACAGCAGCGCCGGCAGCGCAGCTGCACAAGCAAAGCGCGAAATGGCCTTTGAATTTCTAGATGGCAGCAATGAGGAAAAGTTTGAGCGTCTGGTGAAGGAGGAAAAACTAAAGACGCCCTTCAAGCGGCGTCATTCCCAAACGCCGCCCACACAGAGCACCGAAAATAGTCGCTCCAACAGTCCAAATAGCAGCACATCATCAGCTCAGAATGATGTAAATCCACGTCCCAAGGCGCATCTTTTCAAAGGTCACAAGGAGGAAAAGCGTGTGCGACACAACAGCTATACCTCGTCCACTTCATCGTCCTCCTCGTATACCGAGGCAGATCCAGAAATACTATCGCGCCGCCAGAAGCAAATAGACTATGGCAAAAACACGGCTGCCTATGAAAGATATATTGAGAATGTGCCCAGAAATGAACGTACTCGCGAGCATCCCAGAACCCCCAACAAATATGGCAAGTACAGCCGTCGAGCCTTCGATGGGCTGGTAAAGATCTGGCGCAAGCAGCTGCACATCTACGATCCGCCCACGGCAAAGAATTCGCGTACTTGCGAAGCTGATTCGGACTCTGACTCGGATTAGAGGTGTTTTATTAACATGGGGCGCGTTTCTCGGGGGACAATAACTGAAACGATGGTACAAACTCGGGCAAAGTTGAAGTAAACAACATTTACACATATATATATATCCCATTAAATTAGCCTTAAAATACTGCTCGCAGGCAAAGTATGTTATGTTATGTTATGTTAACATAAAATGAAATGTTTAATAAAATGGCGTCATTTTGATCTTGATTCTTTGAGACTGTTTTACCTGGAAACTGCATCGAGGGAATTTCAGAATTGTGCGCATGTAATGCACATACATATGCATGTGTATTGTACATTCAAGGCGGGCCAGGAATAGACAGATGTTTTATCAGCTTATGCAGTGATATACGTTTTATGTATGTATGTACATATAGTGGAAGCTGCCTATAGCGGACCGTGATGTGCGAACATTCATTATTCAAAATCGTATACATACATACATACATGTGTGTATAGTGACGTTAATAAACAATACTTTTTATGATCAGCAATTTCAGTATGCAACCAATTTTTATATATTTATGTACTTTCGTTCGATCTAGGCATAGGTTTTGTAATTTAAGTAGCGTTTTGTCAATAAAGCGACTGTTAAACATGTTCGTCAATAGGAGCTGTCACTTTATGTTAAGTTTTCATTGAACTGGAATACATTTATGCAAATCATCCGTTAATTTTTTATCAAGCAACGGTGCATGTCTATTGTGAACTGTGTTGGGTTACTCTTTTAAAGTACACAAATTAAGCAACATATTTATTATGTGTAAATTTTGCGAACCGGCATGCAAACAGTGTTGCCAATTGAGCCATTTTCTAGCTAAGTTTGCTTGGTATTTGAATATTGGAATCAGCTACTTTTTTTAAAGCGGCAGCTGGCAGCACCGCATACATCAGCTGATTTCTCATTGGGCGACAAGTCTATTGTGAACTATGATAATTATACATAAATACATACATATGTATGTTTAATTTGATTAATCTCTTCACCAACTTATGTGAAACGTATTCAAAAAGCTTAGGACATAAATCATTATTATTATTTGAAATTTTATTAAATATGCATTATTTAATTAAATTGGCAAACGGGCATGAACCAGCGACCAATCAGCTGTTTTGTCACTGTGCAACGGCGTGTGTCTATTGTGAACGTCTGTTAGTTTATATTTATTTTGATTATTTCGTTTACGTACGCAAATTACACGCAGCACGCACATGTTTCTGAAACCCTACCGATTAAAGAGTAGCGCAGCGCTCAAGGGCTCCGAAGCCAAGAAACTGCGCGCCCGGCTCGAGTTGGCATTTCCGCATGTGCCGGCCGAGAATCTGATGCCGGCAAAGGCGAATGTGACGCAGCTGAAGATCCTGACGCATGGCGGGCAGCAAAGCATGGTCTACTGTGTGGACAAGCAGCCGATGTTCTTTGAACTGGATGGCGGTCAGCTGGTGCCAACGCTCTACACACTATGGTCAACGCCAGACATATTGCCATATCTAACCACACACGAGGGTGTGCTGCCCAAGCTATCCAATGGCGCGGACTTGATGCTGCCGGGCGTGGTGCCGCTGGGCGTCGGTCTGAACATGTACGGTCATTTCAAGAAGGGTCAGCTAAGTAAGTGTGTGACACCATTTAATATTATATACGAATACAAAAAATTCTTTTGATCCGTGCAGTGGCTGTCAATTTGACCAACAACAGTTCGGCCATTGGCGTGGGACAGCTGGCGCGCTCCAGCGACGAGCTGTACATGTGCGGCGGTCATGGCGTGGCTGTTAAAATGCTGCACATGTTTGGGGATAAGCTGTGGGCACATGAGCCCAGTCTGCTGCAGCAAATACCGCTGAACAAGACGAAGCCTTTGTCGGGTGAGGACTTTCCCGCCTTGGGATCATCAGATCAGCACCGCAAAACCATAAAACCAACGCCAACCGAACCGACAACTGTGAGTGAACCGCTGCCACAAGCGGAGGAAACAGACGAACTGACATCGGGCGCTGCTGCCTTGTCGCTGGAGGAGATTAGTGAGCCTGCCGCAGATGCTGCAGCGGAGTCACCAGATGAACCCACGCCGGAAACACTTTTAAAGAATGCATTTCTGGCTGCACTTAAAAACAACGGCAAGAAGCTGCCGCTGCCGCTCCTCACGAGTAATTTCTATCGGCTGTACGTGGTGACCGAAGCGTCTGAACAAATTGATTTAAAAAAGACGCGCTACAAGAAGCTGTCCAACTTTCTGGCCGAGATGGTCGACCAGGGTTTTATAGTTGTACGTGAGGAGACCAAGGGCGTTGACAAGATCATTTCCGTAGACTTGGAGCATCCAGAGCTGGTGAATTTTATAACGGATGTCAAGACTGGCGACAGCAGCGGTGCCGCCGCAGAGACGCCCCTATTCCATTCGGAGCTAAAGGAGATGTACATTGTTTCGGATGTAACCGCCGCATTCTTCACTAAAATGAACTACAAACGCGGCGAGGGTATACCCGTTGGCCAGGTCAAGAAGATTGTGCGCGAGTATGTGAGCAAACATGGCCTGGCTGATCCGCAGACAAAGCTGGTGCGTCCGGATGCGGTGCTGCTGGAGCTGTGCGGCAACCGTGAGGGTACCTTGAGCGAAATCACCTCCATAATAACCAGCAAGATGGAGCATTCCTATCAAATGTGCAGCGGAAAGGATACCAGCGGCAAGCCGCAAATCCAAATGTCCCTGGCCACACGGTCCGGCAACAAAAAGGTGACGCTGGTCAGCAACATCGAAGCCTATGGCATCATCATGGCCGAGCTGATAAAGCTGTGCAAACAGGGCGCCGCCGCCAGCACAAGCATTGTCAAGTTGCCGCATCAGAAGCACGAGCAGCTCCAGGTGCAGGGCAACCAAATTCGTTTCATATACACGCTACTCACGGAAACCTACAAGGTGCCGCCCAAGTGTATACTGGGCCTCGAATTGGCCAAAGATGGCAAGAAGAAGCGCAAGTGATGAAGTCAGTAAGCAATGCATATAATACAGCCCACGGGGCAATAAAATGAAAGTTCCACTCTAAGCCTGTGCTTACTATAAGTTTGTGTTATAATAAATTATTTATTAACTGTAGTGGGGAGTGGGTATGAGAACCAATTAATGCTACGAGAACCACAACAATGAACGGGAGGATATATCCAGCTTCTATCTGGACTTAACAATCTCTAGCAATTGTGCTTTTATATTGTGTCGAACTAAGAGCTTCATTTACTTGGCCTTGCCTTGGGCAGCAACGGCTTCGATGGCCTTCTTGACGGTCTCCTCGTCACCCAGGAACTGCATGGATACAACGGGCTTGAAGTTCTCATCCAGCTCGTATACAAACGGTATGCCGGTGGGCAAGTTCAGCGCCATGATGGCATCCTCGGACAGATCTGTAGTGGTTTTAGAGTAAATTCAATTCTTATGGAATAATAACATTTCATGCTGTTGCTCACTATCTAAATGCTTGACAATGCCGCGCAGACTGTTGCCGTGGGCCGCAATCAGGATGCGTTTGCCCTCCTTCATCTGTGGAATGATGACATCGTTCCAGTAGGGCAGTGTGCGTTCAATGGTCAGCTTCAGCGACTCAAACATGGGGAACTCCTCGGGCTTAGGTCCCTCAGCATAGCGAGGATCCTTGACAATGGTGTCATAGTAGGGATGTCCCGGCTCCATGGGCGGCGGTGGTGTGTCAAAGCTGCGTCGCCAGATTTGCACCTGAGCCTCACCGTACTTGGCAGCGGTCTCAGCCTTATTCAGGCCAGTCAGACCGCCATAGTGACGTTCATTCAGGCGCCAGGTCTTATAAATGGGAATCTCCTTGTGGCCGCTCGCCTGCAGTATGCTGGCCAGTGTGACCTGGGCGCGCGTCAGAACCGAAGTGTGAGCCACATCGAATTCTAGCCCTGCGTTCTTGACAGCCTTGCCAGCAGCTAGAGCCTCCTCCTTGCCTGCGCACACAAAAGTATTGATTGGTTTTTATTAAGTATTTGATTATGTGCATTTGGATTTACCCTTTTCGCTGAGATTGGCATCAAACCAGCCGCAGAATTGATTTTTCTGATTCCACTCGGACTCGCCATGGCGCACCATAACAATCTTGTATTTGCCACCCATATTTGATAGTTGGACTAGTTTGCGGAAAATTATGTTATAATAGCGGCGATGGCGCTTACAGCACTGTCGCTTTCCTTTAAATTTACTTAAATATGACCTACAAGGGGGCCAATCAAGGTCGTAGTTGTCAATTCGCGTATTGCAACGCTGTGTGGGCAGTTCGCGTTTTTGTTACGTAGTCTGTTATGTTACGCGCACTGCTGTTACGTTTGGCGCCAAAGCTTCACGCAAAATGCAACTCTGTTTCGTGGGCCTGCTAACGCAACAAATGGGCAGCCTTGGCTATTTAGTGTGGAAGAAGAAGACAATAAGCAAAGCATTGTTGATTTGTGCTGCAGCAACAGTTATTTTTTTAATATTTTTGATTTAATAAGCCTGAGCATTATGACTGAAAAGGTAATTGTGAGATGTAACTGGACACAGTCGGCTGGCAAAGAACTGTCCCAGCTGGTGCCCACACGCTTCTCTGAGGAAGATGTCTTTGAGAAGTAAGACAAAGGATTTCCATTTGCAATTGCAAACACACCCAAACAGGTTAACATACATATATATATTTATGTGCACTTTTGCCCTAACAGGCCCGACTTGGACGACGTTATCGGCGAGGAGCGTGTTGTGTTCATGTATATCGACTACCCCACAATACCCTGTGAGCTGCAATTTCAAATATCGCCCAATTTTAAAATTGCCGCCATAACGCTTGTGTGCAGCGCACCCAAAGTGGAACTTTTCGTGGGCCCCACCCAGGAGTATTTGGAGACGATCTATGGCAGTGCAGTTAAGGAAGATGATGGCGATATACCCATACGCCCATATCGTTACGATGTGGAAATCGATCGTTCTGGCATCGCGGATATCAATTTAAAGCTGCTCACCTCGGCCAAGGTGATTCGCATTTATGGCGCTATGTTGCACATAGCTCCAAATCCGAATGGCATTACCACACAGTTGCAAAAGCCATTCGATATACAAAAAATACAGGAGCTGCTGCAAAAAGGAGGCACTGGCTGCGGCACTCCAAATCAAGCCAAGGACAGTGATCAGAAACTGCAAAAGTTTATGAGCATGATGAAGAGCTATGTGAGTCACTCGGAGACTCCGATGCCAGCGGCTGCTGGCACTGAGATGGGCGTGAGCAGTCTGAAGGAACATATCGACGCCAAGTTCGAGCAGTTGGAGCGCACAATTGCCAAGAGATTGGATGCATACGAGGCGCAACAGGCTGTAAAGTTGGACAAAATTATTGCAATGCTCGAAAACAAAAACTAAATGATTAAATCATATATTTATAAAGCCATCCATCTATTGCATCTGTAATTCTAACTTTGACATGTATTTCAATTTAGTTAGATAACGAATTTAATTGTGATCTTTTGAAAGTTTCTTTGTAATTGTGTTAAAATTGTTATTTGGCAACTGATTTCCTTAGCTAAATCCCTGTAATTTTTACTTAGTACTTACGAGAAGTCTGACACTTTCAATATACATGTACTAACCATTATTAATGTTTTGTTCTAATCGTGTTGCTCCTTGCAGATAGCTCACAGTTCTCTAGACTCTTGTTGAACTTGGCTTTGTATTTGGCGCAGAAAGTCTGGTCAAAATTATCTGATAGACTCTCCTGATCCGTTTCATCATAAGCCTGAGGAATCACAAAGGTTATTCTAATAACTCTTTGGCCTAAGCTGCTTGTACTTACATTATCCACGGCAATGGCTGGCACACCTCGGAATGCCACTTGGGCCGTTGCCTCACCATATTTCTTCAATATTTCATTGACGCTGCGCGCCTTCTTGCACTCCTTGACAGCACTCACATCTATGTTATAGCGCTTGGCGCACCTATCCAGATTGTTTTTGCGTCCGCGCATCATGCAGGCAATTAGCTTTAATGATATGGTCATATTATTGTGCTCCAGGATGCAGCCATGCCAGGCATTCAGCTCACATTCATCCGCGCCGTGCTGACAGGTGAGTTCGCCCGCCTCGTTCACCTGAAGCGTGGCATTAAACGGGTTTCCTCTAAAATTCATTAAATCACCTACCTTCGCATTTCCATAGGGCACCAGCGTCAAGTCCGTGTAGGGCAGCCTATCCATGCGCGTCATCGAAGGATTCAGCTGAGTTGTCACAAACTCCATGCAGTATGGACAAAGCGCTTCGTAGTAGAGTGTTATGGGTAGCTTGGGCGCATCGGGATCATGATTACGCTGCAAAATGTTGTTGTCAATACGAGGTCAAAGCGGCTAAAGTTCACTTGCCTTGGCAATGCAGCCTAGCAGCCCGAAACCAAGCAGCAAAAGACAAAAAGGCTCCTTCATTATTTAGCAATTTTATGCGTGGAACTGAGATCCAAAACCCTCTAACGACGCCTTGACACTGAGAATTGAGTAAACAGAAGTCAAACTTTGTAGTCTTTGTAATCTATAACTGTGATTTCAAAAGCGCCCAGAGGCGTAGACACTGGGGATTCACTGGGTAATATAAAATATATTAAATTATTAATAATAATCCCTATAATCTCTAGCTACGCCTCTGTTTCATCTTAATCTGCCTACATTTCCTCATTTCGTAAAGTACGATTACTCAAAGCGAACAAGTGCGCGCTGAAAAGTGCGTTTATTGTCTCGTCTTTCAAATACCCTATCATTGTATTTTGCATACACACTTAGAATGTATTGATGTTGGAAAAAAATTCAAAATAAATTGGGTTCAGTGTACTCAGTTCTATTTCGTTTCTCAAATTGAGGCAAAGTTAGCTTGCGAGTCTGTGAGTCCTTGAATACCTTGTTCGGCGCCTATTTATTATATCTTTGTGAATCACGCGCATGAATATCGCGACCACAAAATCGGTGCAAGAAGTGGGCACATATATGAAGTCTTAGACACAGCTCAAAATAAGAACTTAGAAAAAGTTAAACAAAGAAAATCTAACATTGTAAACTTTTCACAGAAAAAAGTCTAGCTTTGTTGCATAGTGTTAGTAATAGGTACATGGAATTTGCTATTACATGTGTTGATGGATACAATTAAATATCACAGCTGTCGCTGTTTATTGTCGCCAGCTATGCGACTGAATCAGATTACAGATTCAAATACCTCAATGATTCATAACTGGGAAACTAATTAGCAATGTGAGCTGCTGACTTAGAGAAAGAGATTTAATAAATGAACTTTCCTGGTTGCTTAAAATTTCGAACTCTTCAATATTAGAGGTGGATTGTTATTATTGTTATGAGTATTATTATTATTATTATTATTATTATTATTATAAGTATTATTATTATTAGTATTATTATTATTATTATTATTATTATTATAAGTATTATTATTATTATTATTATTATTATTATTATTATTATTATTATAGAACAATAAAGAAAGAACATTTTTATACCCTGAACCCATTAAATTTGTTGTTCATAGAATTGGGAACTGGAAACCTATCCATAAAAGTCCTAGAGCGGCGGAGCTTTGTCGCTTCAAAACGACATAATCTCGCCATGATCAACGGATATATATGTCGTTTTTGGGGCTTGGAGGATATGTCGTTTCAAAACGACATAATCTCGCCATGATCAACGGCGGAGTTACGTCGTTTTGAAACGACATATCTCCGCGCGGATATATGCCGTTTTTGGGGCTTGGAGATATGTCGTTTTTGGGGCTTGGAGATATGTCGTTGGGGCTTGGAGATATGTCGCTTCAAAACGACATAATCTCGCCATGATCAACGGCGGAGTTATGTCGTTTTGAAACGACATATCTCCGCGCGGATATATGTCGTTTTTGGGGCTTGGAGATATGTCGCTTCAAAACGACATAATCTCGCCATCATCAACGGCGGAGTAATGTCGTTTTGAAACGACATATCTCCGCGTGGATATATGTAATTATTAGAGCCCGGAGATATGTCGTTTTTAGAGCGGCGGAGCTATGTCGCTTCAAAACGACATAATCTCGCCATGATCAACGGCGGAGTTATGTCGTTTTGACAAAAATAAATTTGTTATACCCTGACCCCATTAAAAATGGGTATAAGGGTATATTGTATTTGTGTAAAATCCAAAGGTATGTAACAGAATGACGGAAGCATCTCCGACCCCATTAAGTTTATATATTCTTGATCAGCATCAATAGCCGAGTCGATCTAGCCATGTCCGTCTGTCTGTCCGTCCGTATGTATGAACGCAAGGATCTCAGAACCTATAAGAGCTAGAGCCTTGAAATGATGTAGATGGTCCAAGTTCCCGCGCAGATCGAGTTTGTTTCCGATAATCGATAACTTACTCCGTTTCCAAGCAATCGATTAAAATCGATATCGATATCCGGTTTTTTGGGCAATTTTGGTTAATAATAAGAGCTAGTGTCACCAAACATGACATATAGCTTCTAAAATAGAATATATATATGCATTTGATGATGGAAGAGGAGGGTTCAGGGTATCCCCTAGTCGGGAGCTCCCGACTAGAGCCTCTTAATTGTTTTATTAGTGTTATTATTACTATGTTTATAAATGTCGCCCCATTTACAATGTGAAAAATTGAAAACCCATAAAACTGTTGATTTATTTTTCATAATATGTCATGTTTTATTACTTATCATTAACACTATTACTTTATCACAAATATTTTAAGCATTTTTACATAGATAGTTACAATCGTCGTGCTTACATTGGTTTTACTTATGTATGTATGTACAATGTTTTGCCCTCTTTGAGGCCCATTTGATACATTTTTCTGTTTCGTTATTCTCTTTTATTTTCTCTTTGTTTATATTGTATGTAGCACTACATGATTTCGTTTCTGAAAGTTTCAACTACTCGTATTGAATATCTACAGCGGGGGACATTCGCTTATACACGCTGGAGGAAGTTTCTGATTTTTCTGACAGTTATATATTAATTTTTTTAACTATAGCATTCCATATGATCTATGACATTTTTCCGGGTTGTACAACATTATGTTTTGTTTTTTTTTACACACATTTTTTTTTACTAAATGTATTTATAGATATTTATGATTTCGCTATTCTTAATATACTTAAGTAATCAATCGATATTGTTTTTTGTTTTTTTGGTTTCTCGTTAGAAATGCAAATTGTAGACCCTAAAAAACGAAATGATATGATCAACTTTTGAACACTTATTCATTTAAGAACATGCTTAATTGTTTAAACGTATTAGATGCATTTCTGATATGCGAATATATGCCTTGATAACAATTGCCATGCCTTTTCGAAAGGCATCAAAATTTATTAAATATGTTATCGAAAGTTTCATTTGTTTTTCGTTCCATTTTTATTTGTTGTTGTTGTTTTCGAGTAACTTGATTGAGCTGCTAAACTGCCAGAGCCAATAAATTTCGACTAAATAATTCGTTGTATGTTTAAGCTTGTGATTAAAACTAGGCCAGAGTTTGTATATAATACTTGGAATTGAAAGTCGTGCTTATCAAATTGTCGAGGACCAGTTGGCAAATCAACATGTGGACTTTTGGGCCTATGAGTTTATTATAAATGTGCTGAGTTTGGCTCGATGTTAGCTACATAAATCATTTTATTGGCTTATTAAAAACTTTTCCATTTATTGTCATCATTTTGCGCTATCGTGCGCACAAAATCCGTGCCCAGTTCGAGTTGTTGGCCAGTTTTTATTGTGCTCCATAGCCATTCAATCGTTCGTGAGCTTATTATGGTTATCCACAGGGCGGTTATCGCATATTTTTCTAAACTTTTCTTTATTGCTCACTTGTTGGCTAGCCGACCGGCTCTCGGCTGGCTCATGCCCATTAAATTCAAATCTGCCGGGCTGCTGTTTCTGGCGCGTGTTTAAAAGTTAAATAATGGCCACAATGGCTTCCTATTCCTCCTCCTCCTCACACACAATCTCTCTCTCTCTCTCTGGGCAGGCAATGGCGCAAGACGTGTCCAATATAACTTTTTCCCCATGGACTGCTCCCAAATGCGAATCGCTTGCTTTTGGCTTTGATCTTGTGCAGCAGTTCAAATAGTTGCGGCATAGGCTCGGTTAGACAGCAAAGGATATGTGCCTCTTTTTTTTTATCGGGATATGTTCTCATATAGTGTAAAGAATAAAATCAACAACAATAAAAATAAAAACAGTTTTAACAACACTTTGGGTTCTGCTTGGAAGTACACAGCAATTTAACAAGACGGTTGTTTCTAGTTCAGGCCTCGCTCTTCAGCATCAAGCATGCGTATTTGTATATAGTTTGGGTTCCTCGAATTGATGCTGTGATTGTTAATAGGAACTCGCCGTGACGACAACTTCTTTCAGTTATAGAAGTTTTTAATAGATGATAATCCTGGAATTTCAGTACACAAATATATCTTTGGGTTTGGGTATCGCAAGCTAATACGCTAACATCTTGTATGATATTGTATTCGGGGTAATACTTTTTAGGATTTGTCAACGAGCCTGATATCTTTTAAGAAGATGTACACAGATGCTCTCTGAAATGAATTGCCTTTATCGTTTCTGAGATCTTTTAAAAGATGTACATCAGAATAGCTATACACTGTCCCAGAACCCGTAGAAGATATACTTAGAAGAGTCCCTTCTTGTGATATTATGGAATATGTACATTATTTTTTCCAGGTATACAAATTCAGAAAAACTGATATCTGATTAATGTATTAACGAAGATATGCATAGATATTACAGTGTTTGATATGCTTGATAGCTTTTCAATGAGAGATATTAAGGGAAGTCTGTGAATGGAGTCTCAAATGGGCAAACTTGATGCTGAAGGCCAAGCTTTAAATAGCACACTATATATAAATATATATATATAGTTGTATATTAGAATGTTTATGCTTATGGCTAGAAATACATTTACACTAACATGTACAAACAAACACAGACACACATGCACACGAACACATACATTGACTAAATTTAAAAGCTACTTTTTAAGTCTAACAATTAGAATTTAATGCTTAGAGACATTCCGTCCACGAACTCTGCTAGTTACGAATAGTTAGTTTTTTTTCACTTGTTTTTTTTTTTTTTTTTGTTTTTTGGTAAGCTTAGACCTAGTTCTATATGCTCTATATATATATATAACTATACGTATTTCACTTTCAACTACTGCATTTGCTGCTGCCTCTGTATTCGATTTCTGTTTCCTTTTTTTTGTTTTTTAAATCTGTTTCTGATGTGCGCCAGTCTTTTGTTTGTTGCCAGGAATTCGATAGCTCGTCCGCACGCAAGCTTTAGACGCAGCTCTCCGGGCCGGGCAGCGTGTCCGTGATGATGTGATTGCGTCCGGCATTCGATTTCTGTGTAATGGTTGTCAGCTGCGAGGGCGACAGACTTGTGCCGGCCATGCCGCCGACATGGCCCAGGCCCTTCGGCAGCGTCATGTGCGTGGGCAGCGGTGCTGCTGTGGCCGCCGCCGACTTGCTCAGATTATAGTCAATCAGGCTGCTGGTGGTCAGATAATCGGCCAAAGTTAGCGGATCACGTCCGCGTGGCAGGCTGCCCGAGGCCAGGCCATGGGGCAGCGTATGATGCATATGCTGTGCATAGTGCCCGCCATTGCCAAGCGCATTGCTCGTCGAGTTCGCCACGCTTCCGGCCGAGCTCAGCGTACTGTTGCTGCCAATCCCAGCACCGCCACCACCACCACCACCACCACCAGCACCACCACCACCGCCGGCATAGCTGCCCATGTTCAGGCCCAGCTGCTCGTAGCGACTGAGCGTGGGCATGGCATCGTACAGCAGCGAGGCTGCCGCCGCTGGCGTCTGGTAACTTTTCGCCGCATTCTCACTTTCCAGTTTCAGAGTACTCGACTGCGACGGCGGGCTGTTCAGGTGCGGCGCATTCACCTCCTGCAATGATGCCAAATGGCCAAATGTTAGCTATTGCAAGCAACGTTTCTTAAAATGCACTACAAAAATACAAATGTCCTTTAGAAAATCGCCAAAAATAATTTCATTTCTTGGTTTTTTCATATAATAGAACTTTTTTTTTTTAAATCAATAAAATTTTCTGATAAGCGAAATTTATTTTTATTTCTTGGCGAGTTTCTAGAATTTTAAAATTAAAAAAAATGTAATTTAATTTGTTGGTTTTCGAAAATTTAAGCAAAAGTATTTTTGAGTTCGTTTTGAGTTAATCGTATCTTAAAAATAAACATTTTAAGCAAATTTCCTTCCAAAAATAAAAAAAAAAAACCTTTTTATTTTAAGAACCTATGAAATACATTTCTTAATGAAATTTCGGAAAATTAATGTTTCAACAAAATAAAAACGAAAATTTATTGAAATTAAAATAGGAAGTTCGTACCGAGAAAATCACCATCAAATAAATTTTTACTTTACAGTTTCAGAACATTGTTTCAATTATTTTAAAAAGAGTTACATTTTTTTTTAATTGCAAGAATATTAGTTTAAAAACAAGAAAATCTGAACTAAAGTCAAATCTTGATTTCTTGACAATTTTCTAAAATGTAGTTCAAGAATTTCTTTGAGTGTGGTGCATTCAACTTACATAATCGGCTGTTTTATGACTCGCCGATGCACCGCTGGTCGCTGGCCCATTGCTGCCGCCCATAAATGAACCACTCTGTCGATTTCCCAGCGGTGAGGATGTGTCGCTGCCAGTTGCGCTCTTCTGTGCACTCAGTATGTCCGGCTGCTTCTCAATGCCCTGCTTGAGCGTATAGGCGACGACCAGTCGCTGATGGCCGGCGCCCGTTTCCAGGGGCGCTGTCACCGTCACATCCATGCCTGCCATTTGAATTGTTGTTGGTCATATTAGTTTTTGGTCTGCCTTAAGTGCCCACAATTTCGGCAATACTCACCCAAGTGCTTGTCCTTGTCATCGCACAAATTCCGGGCGCCCTGGCAGCGGCGACGACGCACCGCAATGACAACCACAAACAACACGGCGATGCCCACGGTGAAGAGCGTTCCGGTGAGCAGCGCGGCCAGCGGCAATATGGATAGACCCATGCGTCCATCTGTAAGTGCCAAAGCCGATATGAAAAGCATTAGAGATCAAATCTAAACACTCGTAGATTTTGCATGTATATGAAACAACAAATAAAATGCACATTGTTCACGGGGCTAAAAGAGATTTTCATTTTGCTTTCAGGCTTATGCTTGATTTCAAAAAAACGAATGCACTCTTCCATTTTAAATATCAGCCTTCAATTCTCTATAGAACACTTGTCATGCTCATACTCTCTTAATTAGAACTGCAAATCTGATAACAAAAGGTCAGGGGTTTGGCTTTCCGTTGGAAAAGACTTTCTGTCTTAAGTTTCGGTTCTAAAACCTGTGTTTTTTTTTTAAATCCATAAACTCCGATTTTGGCCCATATATTATCAATACTTTTTTAAACAATTCAATTTGTAATTTACAATTGCCCGTTCTACGAAAAATATTTTCATGGAGAAGTTATTGATAAATCGAATGCTTGGGATTCAAATTATTCCTGATTTGTGGCTGAGTCTTTCTCAAAAGTTTTTCATTTTGAAACGAAGCATTTCTGAAAAAATATGGGTTTTGTTTCAGCTGTTATTTGAGTTCTGTTTCAAAGTTTGGTTCATATTAAGAAATTCAAAGAAAAGTCGAAACTCGACCTGAATCAAGTCTGCTATTTCTCAGAAAGTTGTGTGTTTCCAATGAATTGCATGCCTTGAACTCGAAAGAAAATGGTAAAAAAGAACGCATTTTCCAAAAGAATATAATAATTATTGCGAAATATATGTTTTTGACAATGCGCAAAGGTAAGTCTTGCTGCTCTGAACTATCTACGACGCATATATATAAAAGGAAATTGAGTTGTTTTAAATGGAAAATTACGAAAATTCACGAAACTGATTACAAAGATGTGGAAAACTGTGTACAAAAGCGACGCCCCAAGGCGCATTTCCCGTAGTTGGTTTTAACAAATGTATTAGCTAGTTATTGCCTTTTGCCGTGTTCAGAGGGCTTAATTGAAAAAGTCGTTTGATTATTTGGTGTTTTTTTTATTTGTTTGAGAGTTGGTGTTGACGTTGGCGTAATTGAATATGCATTACAAGGCCATAAGTATTTCGTGTACGTAAATGGGACGTGGTGTAGTTGAAATGTGTTTAACATTCAACAAATCATGCGCGCCTGCGGATATGCAACACGGAATTTCAATAAGCAAACATGCCGAAATGGCAAAGCCACAGCCAAAGCTGGCTAACATACTGGTTGAGGGGGGAAAAGGATGCTGGAGGGGGGGGGGGGGCAAGTTGAGGGCGGCGTGTAGTCGCAGACTGTTGCTAATTTATAAACCTGCGCCTGTCAGCCAGACGCTGTCGACAGCAGCGCCAAAGTTGCAAATCAATAAATATTTTCCTGCTTTTTTCATTATTTTTTTTTTTTTTATTTTTGTGCAGCTTCACCAAATGTTGACGAAAATGCGCCGCGAGCGAAATTGCTCATTTATGCATGGCTGCGCTTAGAAGCCCACAAACACACACAAACACACACACACACACACACAGCCACATGTTATACATGTATAGGGCATACTTTCAAATACATACGCATGTGCATGTCGAACAATTTTGCATGTGTTGTAATTGTTGGCACATGACTTTTAGAAAAATACATTCGAATCTGCGCCCATTGCGGCGCACTTCCAGATCTGCCAAACAACATATAGTTATTCAGATTTAATTAAATTTATATGTATATTATATATATATATGCACTTTGCGGGTTTGGTTCACGATTCGAAGCAATGCGCCTTTAGGCTCGGTTCGTGCATCTCATCACATTTTTGCCCATAAAAAGGCATATTTAGTTTAAAATAAAAAGCAATCACAACATTAAAGTTTTGAAAAAAAAAATAGTAAAAAATTTGATAAAATATTTAATTAAAATTGATTTTATTAAGTAAGTCTGTTGAATGTTTAAACATTGTGACTTGGGTTCGTCTATGCATTTGATCAACTAGCGCTTCGCATGGAGGCAATAAAAATTGGGACTTCCCGGCTTGAACTGGTTTCCGTTTCGCATGTATTTGGATAAGGCACGTTGTGTGAGCTCAGTTTACTTAATAGATTGGCATCGCATTACCTCAAAGCTAGGCAGCGCATACAAATCCCCGAACGCATCAAAATGAAACCCAACACACAGACCAGCAAAGAATGCCAAAGTGAACAGTCGTTGGCCAAATAAAATATTGTACATGTATAGGTATGCGCTGCATATATAGTATATATACAGCAGCAGGAAGACACTTGAAACTGATGCCGAGCGACATGCGAGCTGAGCTGCCGGCAACAACAAAGAAAACCCCAAAAAAAAAAAACCAACAATAAAAAAAAAAAGGAAAAACGAAGAAAGTAATTTAAATATAAGCAGAGCGGCGTAATGAAATTTTCACACTTGTGCAAATATTTATCAATAAAACAAGCAGCAGATAGGACACCGAAACGGGAATTGGCAAACGTGGGCGTTTACACCAGGGAGCGGGGGCCAAGTTAAGCAGATAAGCCAGCCAAGAGAAAGATAGAGAGAGAGAGAGAGTAGCCGAGCACCTGTATGTTGCATGCCACAACAACAGAAGCAGCAGGAGCAGGAACCACATCACAAACATTGCCCGGGCAGCGCTCATAAGCCAATTGTTTGTATGCGTTTCATTTGGTGAGTGCAGGACGCAGCAATTCGTCTACTGCTGGTGCTGGTGCTGGTGCTGCTGCTTTTGGCCCTGGTTACTGGTTGGCTCTGCTTATAAGCTTAATTCGATTTAATGCTCCCGTTTGTGATATAAATGATTCGATGAAACGATGAAAAAGTGGATTGGTTAAAATGTATTGGGATTACGATGACGACGCTGCTCACATGCCAAACCAGGCCAGGCCAGGCGAAGCTGAGTCGTCGCCAGCTCTGGCTGAGCGGGAATGCGTTTACGGTTTACGTTTACACAAAGTAAGCATAAATAAAATGTTTGTATATGCGGGTGTGTGGCCGGATGCCAGGCCAAACAATGTAGTATCTGTATCGCATGCCGTTCCCCTTCCTCCTGTCGCCAAGGCGGACAAACCTCCAACCAGGAGCCAGGAGCCAGGAGCCAGCCAGGAGCCAGGAGCCAGCCAGGAGCCAGGCAGTCAACCACTTCGATCTGCTGTATATAGGATATAATTTTATTTTACTTTACTTTCAGCGCCGTTGTCTTTTGGGATATTTTATTCAGATAAGACATGTTTAATGTATATTTTTCTTGTCTTACAGTAATCGTTTATATTTTGTGTTGCATGTGCCACGCTCTGTGTCTCTCTGTGTGTGTGTGTGTGTGTGTCAGCCAGGTGTGCGGGCGGGCAGGGTCTCAGTGTCTGTTACATTTCCGCTGCTGTCGTCTGATGCGCTGTTACCTTGACGCCGCAGCTGCGGCTATATATATATATATGTATATATATACTATATACTGTGTGCCGCAGCGTCCTGGATGGCATGCTCAAAGTGGATAATGTAACTCTTGGGGAATCTCTGTGTGTCAGTTTAGCATAACAAGATATTTCTTTTCTCAGTGTGTGGTTATTTCTTTTCTTTTCTTTTCTTTTTTGGCTCAGGTAAAACATGAAATTGATTATATTTACATTAATGTGATGGCGTCAAGGCGTTGCCATTGTAAACTGTTCCAAAATTCCCTAGCTACCCAGTGCTAAACCAGTCCCAATGCCAGCATCCAAATCTAACCAGTTAAGTGTCGAATGAAATGCTTTCAAATTTGCCAAGGTGCAAATATTGACACTTGACGTATATTGCATTTTTGCGTATAACTCTTTCACACACGCACACACACACACACACACACACACACAAACACGCACCTGTGTCACACATGCTTACACACTCAGCGAAAAAACTATATGCTCACATATAAACTTTATAATATTGCGTTACAGTTTTTAGTTTCTGTGAATTGTATTGTCTCTATTTCAATAGAAAATATCTTAGAAAATAAATAGTATTTATGGCAATTGTTAATACAAATCTTGGAAAACTTTCATGTGGAAATTGCTGCACTGCTATTGCTAAGTATTTAATTGGAACTTCTAGCTATTGAAAATTTTCAAGAATTAGATCCCACATGGTACTGTTAATTTGTATGCCTGACTAATTTTGAAACATTTTTCTCTTATTTTCAATATTTTTGTTCATAGAATTGGCAACTGCAAACCTATCTATAAAAGTCCTAGAGCGGCGGAGATATGTCGCTTCAAAACGACATAATCTCGCCATTATCAACGGCGGAGTTATGTTTCTTCTACTTCTCCCCAGTTCTCCTAGTTATAGCTACCTACGTAAACGTGCTATGTATCTCATATGCTCTCATATTTTGTGCCTTTTCCTCCCTTTTCTGGCCATATTTATATGAGTGTACGATGAGGTGTGTTGCTCTAATGCGCATTAAAGAGATGATTGAGTGGATTTGTTGTTCATGTTGAATGGCCAAAGCTTGCGAATATATCATTGCCCAATGCATTTAGGTGCGGGAGGGAGAGAGATGGAGATGGAGATGGAGAGAGAGAGAGAGAGAGAGAGAGAGAGAGAGAGAGAGAGAGAGAGAGAGAGCGAGAAATAGAGAAAGATACTTAACATTATTGGCTGGCCAAATCCGCACTGGATTTCAACCTACTTAACGTAATAAATCAATGTGCTGTGTTTAACTAGGCCATGTTGATATGGCCAGGTGCATAAATGATAGTTCCGAATAAACGCCTCGTTTTGTTACATTTATTGTACACAAGTTGTGTTTGAAGTTGGCCTAATTGATTGCATATAAGTTCAACTTATGCTGAATGTGTGAAAAACGAGATATATCGAACTCAATTTTAAATATTTATTTTTTTAACTGCCAAATTGGTTAGGAACAAATAATAACTCTCTGCAATTTGCTGAAAACAAGTATGAATATTCGCAAAATAATGCCTGTTAGGAACCTTTGAATTCAAGAAATGTGAAAGATAGAAAAAGGGGAAGAGAGTCCACAGTGAAAATTTATGAAATACAATCATTTCTATTACGAATCTTTGCTATTAAAGAAATGTGCTTAAAAACAGAAAGGTTCTTAGTGTAAAAATTATAAATATTCTTCAAATAATTTATGTTAGGGAGCTTTGCATTAAAGATAGTTTAAAGGTTATAGGAAAGATGAAAAAGAAAGTGAAAAAAGTATGAATATTCGTGAAAACGTTCGTGTAGGGAACCTTTGCATTAAAGAAATGCCATTTCTTAGTTAGAATTGATAGAATTAGAAAAATTTGTTAAATAATTCCTGGTTTGATCAAAGGTTCTTCAAAAAACAGTAGAGTGCTTAACTTAAAAGTTTTCATTTTTTTTGAGTTTAATATTTTGTGATTTTTATTTTTTTTTTAAAAATAAAATAAAATTGTGCATTACGGGTTTCGGTTCGGCTCTTTTTAGTACAAATCGGATCTGTTTACAAAACCTTAAAAATTGGAATTTCGGGCTCGAAGTTGTTGTCTTGATTTTCTTCATACTTCGCAATCATCAATATTTCAGAAGGACTCGAAGGAGTCGAAGATTGACAAGGTAACCCAAATATATCATTAGAATGCAAGCCTACTTAACTTATGTGGCACAATCAATTTATTGCGGGCCCCAAAAAAATATCGCAAAGTGCGTGTAAAACAAGCCTTTCGAAATGTTTTCCACACAATTTGCGGAGTTTTTTTTTTTTTGCCGCGTTTAATGCGTAAGGAAAACGAAGAAGAAAAAAAGAGAAGAAACTTTTCAGGAAAATTAACGTCAAAGTTGAATAACAAAGCATGAATAAGAAATCTTAGCGACACTACTTGCCGCGGTTTGGGTCAGGTGCACACGGAGAGTGGGCGAGGGGCGGAGCGGGGGGCGGGTGGGGGTGGGCAACAAGGGACAGGGGGCAGGCAGAAGTTGGAGAAAACTGTCGCGCCCCAACGTAAACAAAACTCGTTAAATAAAAGAACAATTGTACTTACAAAAAACTAAAACGGTTAAGCAGACTATGCAAATACTTGAATGACTTTTTAAAGGTGAAATGGTGCTTAAAAAGCAATGAATGCTCTGTTAGCCAGCCCGTCCCCTCCGACCCAACCACCCACGCCCCTGCACCTTGAGAACTTTTCGCCGTGTTGCATACTTTGAGGGGCCGGCGACACTTCACGAGCAAAAACAAACACACTTCGGGGACAATGTGGAATGCAAACTTTGCATGTGCAATGTTTCAGTTGTAGTTGTTGCATTTTCTTATTTTATTGTTGCTTAAATGGCTGAGGAACACCCACCTGAACGCTTGTCCGCCTCATTGATGGGCACATTCTCCAGCACAATCGGTTCGGAGCGTCCCTTCTGGTTGACGCTGTAGACGACCAAATGCAGCGCTGGATGCGCGTCCGGATAGTAGTCCATCGGAGTCAGATCTGCAAGTACGATATGCAAATTCCATTAGCGCAACCGAATCATTAATTGTAAAACTTGCATTTGCAAACTCCATTAGGTAAACAGGCATTTAATTAACACGTTGCGACCAGCAAAAAAAAAATGTGCCCTGCGCATAAAATGCAAACTTTTCCTCTTTCGGTTTAGTTCTTTTTATTTCAATAGTCAGTGTACATTGGATGTGCGTTAAATGGGGTATATTCCAGTTGTTTTTTTGTTCTCGATAAATATCGATGTTAGTGCCTGGTTTTATTTTTGTGCTGACTCGCAGTTTATAAAGGCTAGAGTAGCAACATTTGTAATAAAGGTTTTTTTGAAAACAAAATTTGCTTTAATTTTACAATTCCCCAGTTTCCTCAAAATCGATAAATATCGATTTTGTTCGTATAACAGTATTATAAAATCAAAAATAAAATTTTAAGAATCAAGTTAATTTTTTCGGAATATTCAGATACAAAACACTTAAGACAGGTTTTGTAGAGGAAGCTGGATTAATTTTTATAAATGTTCGCCAGTTTTTCTTAAGCCAATAAATATTGATAATCATTCTTGATAATTTTGAGCATATCTCAGTTTGCTCGTATAACTCGAGTATATTTTTTATTTTTGGTATTTCATTTAATAGCTTCCAGATACTGAAAACTAAAGTTATAAACAAATGCTAATTGGAAAGCTGGAAAAATCAAAATGTAAAGGCTACGCCAGCTCTTAGCCAGGATTGCTGCTAGTCGGGCACTTCCGTTTGGAACTATTTGGCGCGTTTTTATTATGCTCATATCAAAAGTTTGTTGTTTTGCAGCAACAGCAGCTCATTAAAATGGCAACTACTTGTTAAAGGCCAGCACCAATACGCAGCAGCTAACCCCAAAATGAGTCTCACCCCAGCCGGGCTGTAGCCTCAAGAGGGAAGCTCATCTGTAAAGCCAGAGTCGTTAACACGCCTGTCTAACTAATCGTGACTTTACGCTTCGTTTGACTTTGCAAATATCGCAGAATGAAAAGCCGCAAGGCCGCCACTTCCCCCCCTCATCGAGTCATCGATAGAGGCTATATAAAAAGCTGCTGCTGGTTGGTTGCAAGAGTGTTGCCAAGTTGCCAAGTTGCAAGCCAAATGATAACCAAATGTGGCTCATTAACTCGACAAGTTTTTACCTTTTGCTCGTGCGCTGACATTACGCATGGTTTAAATCAAAATTGCAATTTGCGATTATATTTTGGTTGGGCGTGCAAGTAAATCTGGTTTTTTTTCAACAACTTAATTCACAAATTTTTGCCACTTGCTGTTGCCACTGGCATTGCCCACGGCCACGGCCACCGCCAGCCCTCCGGCTACCGACGACTATTGCCAGCGGGCAAGTTTCCACTTTCCCCCTCCTTACAGGTTTCAGATGCTGCCCGGCCCTAGACTGCCGTGCCATTGGCATAAAAGTTTTGCTGACTAGCTAAAATTCATTACAACAAATAGAGAGCAGCCGCATGTGCCAGCTGTTTGTAGTGCGGGGTCGCGGGGGTCGCGGGGGCGGCATGTGGCCCTGGCAGCCTCAACTAATTAATCTGCGTGCCACTGTGTAGTTGTTGTTGCCGTTGTTGCTTTGATACCCTGTACACATTTAAAATGGGTATAAGAGTTGTTTGCAAAATGTACGGCATATCTGACCTTATAAACTGACTAGGTACATTTTGATCTGGAGTAGAATTGCCTGAATCGATCTCGAGAACTATAAGAGCTACAACCTTGGAATTTTAAAAGAAACTCCTATTGTCTGGGTAATTCCAGTTTATTTCGATTGATCGATAAATTACGCACTTGATCAGTATGTTGAGCCCAGTCAATTTTGCCCTTTTGTCAGCTTGATCGGATCTAGAGTCTTGAAATTTGAAATATTTGTACTCGTATCACAAGTTAATTGTAATTGTAATCGATAAATATCGATTTTGAATCAGGTTTTTGTTTTATGAAAATCTCGTAGAGCGACCCAAACTTGGCATGTCGGCTTTGGTATACTCTATGCAGAGGTCCCTGGTTAAGTTACTATTGAAATATCACCCGTCGTTGCCCAACAGACTGCAACAGACTTTTGATGGTTTAGCCTTGGCTGTCCTGTCTCTTTAAGCCTGCCAATGCATCGAAATTATTGAAGATGCTGGGTATCTCCACGTCGGGCATCTGCACGAGCAGAGCACTTTTACTTGTTTTTGGATAGCCTTGCTTGCGCATCCCCATGCCTGTTCCATGCCAAACACGCCGCGCAATTTGGCTTGCTTAACTTTTTGCACAGTTTGTTACTTTGATTTGTTTTTGCTGCTGTTGCTGTTGGCCGCATAGAAGTTGAGTCTTTAGTTTGTGGCTTTTTGCACAGGGCTGCAAAACGCTTTCTTCGCTAAGCCGAAGCAGTCTTAGCAAAGCAATCTGTAAATCCAACCATATTTAAATATAATAATGATTAAGCTCTGCTGTGATAAACACAGCTGCCAAGTGCTCAACGTTGTTGACTCAAAACATTTTCCATAACCAAGCGCAAATTGTTTATTTACAGGTGCACTGCCTTCAATCTAAGCTTAGGTATTTTCTATATATTCAATATATATATACACGGGCGCATTAACAAGCATCTACTGTTCGACCTACTTGTCCTAAGGACCTGCAGCCCACTTTTCGGGCGCCTGTTAACAACCTGAAGGCATTCAGGTCTACCCACTTGCCGCCCATAATCTCGCTCAACCTTAACAAGTGCCTTAACTTACAATATGTAAATATATTATTTCTTATTCAAAGCTCTGATTATGATAGAGAAAGCAAGTAAGAATGTTGCAAACGGCAGCTTCTCTATGCCGAGTGCCGAGTGGGAATAGTTATGGAAGAACTACTAAATTGCATATATAAAATATGTATGTATATTTAGATATAAATATAAAATTATTTGCATGTCTATCTTTCAAAGAGCTTATCAGATTATCTCAAGAATGGCAAAATTTGCAAAAATTAGCGGTTTTTAACTTATTTCATTGAAACTTTTTCTTTTTATACTATAATATATTTTAAGCTGGCCAAAGAACAACAAGGTCCCTTCATCAGCTGACCTTGTTATCGATTTGCAAAGCTTCGTTCTTAGTGTGAGGCTAGAACTACTTGGGAATTATAAGCAACGAAAGGTGAAAAGACGCTGGCTGGCAAACTAAGACCTACTAAAAGAAAAGGTTGACTAAGCTTAAACAAAATGATTTCAATATCGCAGTACTTTCACATAAATTGGGTGGCTTTTTATTTGGGATCTTCTCCCTAAAGATAATTAGGTTCTCTAGCTTCTATCAATAGTTATCGGAACTCAACTCACCAGACAGATCGATGCGAAAAACTGGCACATCCATATAGGTGCTACTCATGTTTAGTCGTAACTTTTTGGTTTTTGAATCGTAGGCCTCCAGATAGAACTGTTGCTGCAGACCGCCATCATAGCCGGGCATGCACTCCAGCTCCATGGTGGAGTATATTATGTTGTCATAGTTGTCGAAATTGATGGTTCCCCCGCCCCCGCCAACCGCTGTATTGCCATCGTAGCCATTGGCGCCGCCACCAATGAGACTTTGAGTGACCACGCCATTGCTGAAGCTGTACTCCATGCGTGAGTAATCGAAATGGGGTTGCTGCCACTCGGCTGGCGGAGCTGTGGGGGGCAGATGTTGTTGTTGTTGTTGTTTTGGTTGCGGCTTCACTGTAGTTGTTGTTGTTGTTGCTGTTGTTGTTGCTTCTGCGGTAGACAGCGCCACGCTGGCCACAAAATCATCGTCGCTAACATTGTAGATATCATCATCGACATCAACATCGGCATCGGCATCCGCATCATCATCTTCTAATGATTCCAGGTCCAGCTGCTGCTCCAGGCTTGAAATATCAACATGCTGTCGCTGTCGTTGTTCTTGTTGTTGTTGGTCGCCTGTATCATAGTCCGCCAAGTCGCTGGGCTCATCTGCCACGTAGTTGTCGTCGTCGTCGTCTGTTGGCAGCTCCTCAGCATCTTCGTCAGCAATCGCAACGTCATCCTCATCAGCATCAGCTTCATCATTGTCCTCATCATTGTCTGCATTGTCGTTGTTATCCGCCTGCTCAGCTCTTGCCGGATCTGTGGACAAAGGCGCGCTATCTTTGCCCAGGTTTGTCTTGATTTCAACTGCAACTGCTGCTGCTGCTGCTGCTGTTGCTTGCTTATTGTTGCTGCTAATTGCTGCTGCCATTTGTTGCGCTGCTGCCGCCGGCTTGTTGCTAATTTGTGGCGCATTCGGTGGCAACAGTCTGTTCTTGACTTTCTCATTGCCAATCACCTCCAAAGATTTGCGTGCTCGCATTGTTGCCAGCATTGTGTCAATGTCGCCGATGCTGCTGCTGCTGGCATCGTTCTCGACATCAGCAACTGCTGAGTCTGACTTGGTTGTTGCTGTTGTGCCAGCTGCTGTTGCTGCTGCTGCTGCTGGCGTAGCTGCTGCTGCTGCTGCTGTAATGTCATTTGCTGCTTGGCGCTTGCCTCGTCTCACTGTTGCAAAATGATGGATTATGTTGTGCTCGTTTACCTCGCTGCTTAGTCCTTGTTGTTGCCCCTGCTGCGGCTGCTGTTGCTGCTGCTGCTGTTTGTGCATGTTTTTCTGTCGCTTATTAAAATACTTTGCTGGCAGTTTGCCGTTGTTGCTTTTGACATTCGAGCCAGCAACTATTTCAGCCTGTTTTATATGTGACAATGATAAATTTGATTTTGTTGCACTTTGCAGCTTTTTTCCTGCTCCTGCTGTTGTTGTTGTTGTTGCGGCTGTCTTGAGCAGTTTTGGAGAGCGTCGCAGACGCCGCTTGGTGTCCTGTGGCTGGTTCGACTGCTTTGGCTGCTTGGCCAGTAATCCATCAGTTTTGTTATTGATGAAGCCAACTGTGGGCGTGGCAGCTGCCTTGGCCAGCAGCAATTGCTGCTGCTTCTTGCCACGCTCAATGGCCGCCAATGTCTGCGACGGTGTAAATGATGTGCGCTTTTTTAGACGCTGCAATTGCTGTTGATTCAGGCGATATCTTTGCTCCGACTGCTGCTGCTGCTGCTGCTGCTTATTAGATTTAACAGGGCCAGCATTTATTTTGCCTTTGCCTTTCATATTTTTATTATTGGCAGCTGATGCAGCCACATTGTTCCGTCCATTATTGCTGGCATTATTGCGCTCACGTACGTATTCCATGTGCGGATAATTCGCATCGTGTCTGCCGTATTGTGTTTGCAAGATTTGATTGCCATGCATTGTCGTCTGATTCGATGAATTCAGCGACGCGGAGGTCACCACATACGGACGCAGCGTACAATTGCGCAGAGCGCCCGGCTTGGCTATGTAATGAAAAGAAAAGCGAGCAAAAATAAATAAAACCAACCAAAATAATAAACCAACAAAATTTAATTTAAATCTATAAAATTAATTACGAAACACACTCACCCGCTGGCACCACCTGAAATAGACACGGCTCCGACTGTTTGCCAATCGCATTCCGGCCCCAGCACGCCAGCGTGCCATAGTCCCGCTCGCCCTTCGGCGTATAGATCAGCTCACTAACAGTTTCCACTGCGAGAAAAAAAGGATTTATATACATGTACAACAGAGAGTGAGAGAGAGAGAGAGAGAGAGAGTCAATAGAATTGTGCCTTAAATGGATTACATTATGCGCATAGACATAGAGATACATTGAGACATTGTATTTGCATTAGGTTTTGGCCAAGTTAAATGAAATAAATTCTGCTCGGCCAGTCAGGCCAGCTGGGACGCACGGGTAATTCAATTTATGTGCATAATATTGATAACAAGAATACAAGCGTGCACGAGCAGCAGCTACCCTGCATATTGACCTTATCCGAACTTCGATAAGATAAGATAAGATAAAAAACTACTGCGTTTATCGATTGTTATACGATTCTCAGAGCTTCATTATGCAATTACCATCGATATAAACAAAAGAGGAGTTCTGACTGAATGGGGATCAGTAGTTGACATTTATACTTCAACTTTCGTTTGGGTCGAAAGTTATTACAAGGATGGGGTCTTAAAAATCTTGATGGTCAACTTTGTTTCTTTTGAAAGTAAGTTATTGGCAGCAATGCGAGCCATGTTTCTAATATTAGCCCGGATCAGGCAAACATTTTGGATAGTATTGGATTTTGAACATTATTAAATCGATCTGGGCAACACCAGGTATTTCTTTTCATTATCTGTACATACTAAAAGTCAAAGCTATAAATTCGATATTTTAACAGCGAAACTCAACGTTAAATAGCTCTGCTCTGAGTAAGCTAAACAGGAGTCCTTGTCCGTGTTTGGCTCTTAAAATCGTTTAAACAGGTTCGAAACCATGGATGTAAATTAAAATTGATCGATTTAAGAGATACATGCAAAGTTATCGATAACATGAAATAAACTAGATCTGTTTAGGGTCTACGATCGACTCTCATTTACAAAGAAAAAGGACGAAAGGACAGAACAATAGACATTTTTTTGTGATTGACTGGGAATGTTTATATTATAGAATCAAAGATGTCTTACATAAATTTTCAAATCTACAGAATACCCCTTTTAAGGCATGATTACGTGGTATAACTTACTATAGGCTTCAGTTTGGGCCAGCTTTGGTGCACTCTCTCACCTGTTAATTTTCTAAAGCCTGCTCAAGCGGAAGGACAATGCAAATTTAATCCACATTGCATATGCATGGCCAGGCACACAATGTGAGGTAGCAAAAATGACTGCTCAACTTACCGTAGCTCTCGAAGTGGGTATCATTGGACTCGAAAACGGTGCGTCGCACATCGCTGCTGGTGCTCATGGTTGGATCCTGTATGGTCGCATAGTGTCCCGATGGCACCTCGAAATGCTCGCCGCTGCTTGAGAATGTCCACTCGAAATCGATTTCCGGTGGATCGGAGTTGACCCGACATGGTATGGGCACCGCCTCCTCCAAGGAGGCGCCAATAACCCCAATCACACTGCTGCTGCAAACTGGCGCATCTGTACGAGACAATAATATAGAGAGTACAATTGAGAGGCACACCAGCAAAAAAAAAAAATTCAAAATAATGAGCAACTGCAGTGTCCATAAAGTATCTATATATTGACTCAACATTTACCTATCTATATATATATATATATATACATATACACTGTGCGAGTCTATATTGTATTTATATTGCCAGTTCGGAGCTGAGTTGACAGCTGAGCACTGGACAGCGGCAGGACAAATTGACAGCTTTGATTTTCAATTTAAGTGCAGCAGCTGGCGTGGAAAGCAGGAAAAGCCAAATTGTACTGGCGACAGGTGTGAGGCGCCTCGGACAGCAGCAAAGATGTTGATGTTGTTGCATTACATTTAAATTCAACTTTGTCAAATTTGACATGCAATCTTTTATATATTTCAGCTGTTTTCAGCGCTTACTGCACATCGCATCAGCACAAAGTTGGCTTTTATACTTGGCTTATGATTTATTCAAAGTGTTGTCATTGTGTGAGGCACACACACACACACACACACACACATGCTAAAAAGTTTGGCTTTAAGTTAAAAACTTTCACTGCCGCCTCGTCATAAACAACCACAACTCTCACACACACACCTACACACACACCTACACACACACACACACATAGCCCCATCCTAAAGCCTAAGACTTCTTAGTATAAGTACTTATTTCATGTGGTTGATATTTTTTTCACAAAATTATTTGAAAAGTTTTTTTTTTTTTTTTTTTTTTTTTTTTTTTTTTTTTGGCTTAATAAAAGCAATACATATACCATAAAATATTGAGGTATTTGCAGAATGTAAAAGTGCCTTTTATTGCAGCTGATAAAATGCATTTGCTTGATCCGCTTGCAATATAAGTAGAAATGTGTGCAAGCTAAGTTTTGCATAGCTTTGGCTTATAAGCTACCAAATATTTCAAGCCCGTGCATGCTAAATATTTCAGCTTTTGCTTTTTAGCTATTAGCCAAAAATGTGTGTGGGCGACCACGAAAGTGAAACACGAAAGTGCTTGTCTAGCACATACCCTGTAATCCAGACAATTTTTGCTATGACTACTTTTTCTTTTCCATGCCATTCATGAACATCTACGATGTGCATGCACTGAAATTAATGTGTGTATATACTAAAGCCGCAGGATATACCTGCAAAATTGCGGTAATGGGTTGGGATATTTGGACAATAATATATTAGGCAGCTGTGGATACTATACGAGAGCTGACATACAAAATTAGGTGTCGCTAGCACTTATACGCTACGAGATATCCTCAAAAAACTGGCTTTCGACAATGATTTTTATCGATTTCTTGGCAAGTTATCGATAATTTCTAATAAACCCAATTGGCGAGGTCAATAGAGGCGGCTATGTTTCAAATTTCAAGTCTTTAGCTCTTATAGTTTCTCAGATCAAAGCGTTCATATGAACATGGCTAGATCGACTCGCCTATTGATGCTGATAGGAGTATATATATACTTTATTGACTACGAAATGCCTCCGCCTGCAGCTTGTTACGTACATTTGCACAAAGCCAGTATACCCTTTCTACCCATTAACAATGTGTTCAGGGTATAACAACTGCAACTTGACCAACTTTACGAGCAACTGTTTGGTCCAGCTGTTTGTCTGTCTGTCTCTCTGTTTGCTGCTGCCATACAAAATACTCATAAATTTATATGGCTGCGTCAATTTCACAATCGTAGAATGTCACTTTGAACATATTCTGATTAATTTCCAGCAAAGATATGAGCGCCAACTGCCATAAATCCATTTATCTCAATCATAGTCGTGCCACACAATATTTTGCCCCCCCCCCCCCCCCCCCCTTCGAGCCCTATCAATACACCAACGCCCCCGCCCTGTGCACCGCGCGCTCCGCCCATTTTGGGCTGTATGCGTTATGCAAATGTTAACGTGGCGTATACGTTACACCCGAGCCCGATAGCTCTTCATTTTGATAGCTGAATATATATATGTATATATAAATGTGTATGTATGTGTAGCCCTTGGGTTTGTATTTGCTTTTAATTATCGCAATTATCAGCAAAAGGGTAACTCAATGCAATGCAAACAGGGTAATATCAGGTAATATCCATTTGCTGATGTCTTCGATTTTATACAATTTGACGTTCGCAACGGCAACGGCAGCTGATGCAGCACTTTTTTGTATACAACATTTTCATACTCGTCAGGCCTTTATGTTTGAACGCTTTTATTTGCCTTTAACTGATAATTTGCGTTAATAATGCTCGGCATGCTATATATGTAGAAGTTTGCGTTTCGGTATTGGGTTACGTTTGCGTTTTCAATTCAATTAAATGCAATTGAATTCAAATCAGTCGACCGCAAAAATCAAGCATAATTAAATTTTTAGTTAAATAAACTAAATAATATGCATAAATACTGAGCCCAAATGTGCGCTGGTCCCCACTGCGCATTGCAATTAATTAAATAATATGCATTTACTTGGCCTGTTGGCAGCAGCAGCAGCAGCAGCAGCAGCTATAACATTAGCAGCAGCTAAACTTATTTGCATATAAAATGGCATTTTTGCCGACTGCATTAAATATATGCACAATAAAAATTGAATTTTCCACTACAGCGCACACACACACACACACCCACACACACACACATACGCCCGCTCTGAGGCAATTTTGCATCGATGAACCGTTCTCGCGCTGCTTTTCTCTCTGCTGAGCTCATAATTATAAATGTGTTTACAATGACTATGTGTTTCAATAATAAAAGCATATCATTCATTTTTATTATCCTAGCCATGCCCCTTCCACGCCCTCCGCCCATCGCCCACCACCCGCGGCCAGCAACTGTTGTCCAGCTGACACGTTAGCTGCGTTTGTCCAGCCAGCTGCGCGTGCCCTATGAATATGCATACTTATTTATGGTCACACACATGCACGCACACACACACACACACACACGCACATACACTCGCCCATTGACCAAGCAACACTAACGTTCTATATAGATATATATACATATTGTATTTAAGCATCATTAATTATTTAGAAAAACAGTCGGAAGTAAATGCTCTATAACGGTAATTGAGACATTTTCAATATGTGTGTGTGTGTGTGTGTGTGCATGTGTGTGAGCCTGAAATCATTTTATGCGCCCATTGTCAGGCCATGAATTTATATTGCGCTTTGTAATATGCTTCCACTCTGTAAATGTGTGCGTGTGTAATTACATATGTACATGTGTATTTGTTAACGAGTGTCAACAGCAAATTGAATACAGTTAATTATGATATGTAGCTGCAGCTGTGCGGCATTAAAGTCAATAAATTTGCTGCAGCGCAACGAAAAACAAACGTTTTTCTACTCGAAATATATTCGAAAATTGATCAGTTTAACAAATTAATTATTAACTATGGTAAATTTTAGAGCATTTTCTAATCAGTTATCATAATAATAATAATAATAATAATAATCGAGCAGTCATCAGTAGCTGAGTATTTTAAGTGATTTAGTAATTTGGGCAAGTTTGCATACGTGAGGCTTGTTTATGAATAAAATAATAAAACGGAAACTCAATTAATATTAAATGCAAAACTGGTTGAGAATTATAAGCTTCTTGGATTTCTTTATTGGTTGTCTTCCGCTTAAACTTTAGTAGTTGATAGATATTAAAACAAGAAACAATCAATAATTATAAGAGCTTCGATCGAAGCCAGGCAACCTAAACAGTTGGCGATATCTACGTAAACTAATTGAGAATTATAAGCTTCAGTGATTGCTTTTTATCATAATGTACTTTTTGATATCATTTCGGGTGTTGATCGTACATATAACTTTGATCAAAAAGTTTCTTCGAAGATCTATAAAGTTTTTCGTGTACAACAAATTTTGCTATACAACTAGTCGATATATAATAAATTATGTAATTTTGCTCAAGTAGAGCCCTAATTTGAGGTTTAAGATATTTAATTGATGCCAGTCTCAACAGTCGCAGTCTGGAGCACTTCTGTAGAACCACTCTCGAGTCTCTAAAGTCGCCTCAAAGCGAATAAAGAATTTCGCACAATTAAGCCCGATTGGATCATGCTGCCTGCTGACCCCAGGGCAAACTTTGTTTAAACACATATTTTTAACACAAATAATAATAATATAAAAAATAGTATGTGTTATATGCCACACATATTTCCGAGCTAAACTATAGCCCACTTAAAGTAATCCAAAAATATATCATTTAATTTAAAAGATCAAAAAGAATTAAAAATAACCATGTTTTAGTACTTAATCGACGAGCGTACTCCAAAATTCGTATCCCCTTTTATCTTTCTTAAAACTCGCAACTTTAATGCAAATATTTGTCCACAGAGCCTTTCAATGTAATGCTATATTTTCATTTGCTTATAGCCCAAGTTTTTCAATAGTATTAGATGTAAATGACATTACAATGAATTGTTTAATTCGTGTGCATTGTGTGTGTGTTAAAATGAAATTTTCACATATTTTCGGTACATTATTTTGTTGTTGTTGTTATTTTGGGTAAAAAGTCAGTAATTGTAAAGTTCTGCCAGTTTGTGGAGAGGTAAAAATGCAAAGCCATTAGACACGTACACGAGCAACAAACACATATGCACACATTTATATCTATATATATTTATATATGCATGTGTGTGTGTGTGTGTGTATTATAACAGTGTATTGTTCATATTACGGCTTTGTGCACAAAATATTTTGTAACATTTATTGTTGTTGGTTTTTGTTGCTGGATTTGTTGCTGCTGTTCCAGTTGTCAACAGGGCGGATGGTTTTTGTGATTTTCTGATGTGAACTGCCGCACACACACACACAGACACATACAGCTTATCAAATGGGCGTTGGCCACACCCACATCGGACAGTTGGCGGTTTTGTGCAGTGGTTATGTCTACTATTTGTTGTCTATTTGTGCATAAATTTACTCATATGTATTTTTAATGCTCCGCTCGACTGACACCAACTGTCAGCATTATTTTTGTTCAAATTTCGACATCATTTTCATGCACTTTGAACAATGGGCATGCTGAAAATTCGTTGGCAAATTTTATCAATTTTAAATACGCTTTTATTTAAAAGTATTATTAAATGAAAAACTGTGGCCCTTGGCAAAGATAATGACAAAGATAACTATACATTGGCCTGGGACTCGAACCAGCGTCCTTCAACTGGATCGTGGCTGAGCTACCGATAACTCCATTTATTAATTATACCAATTATTTAATATTACTTACAGCGTATTCGAAGATTGACCAGCGCACTCTGCGTCTCGCCGCGATCATTGGCCGCCGAGCAGGCATAGTAGCCGGAATGAACGCGACCCACACGCTGCAGGACCAGGCTACGTGTGGATATGATGATGCCCCAGGAGACGTTCTGTGTAACGGGCAGGCCCTGTAAAACAAGAAATTTCATTTACTTAGCACGCACATTTTGCCCCTCAGCCAAGCAACTTACATCGTGCGACCAGGTTATGCGATGCTCCTTGGGATTCGCCTTGATGTGGCACTCGAAATAAACATCATCGCCTTCCTTGATATCATCAGGCCGCAGGGTGGAGCCCAGGGACAAGCTGACCTGTGGCGGATCTGTAAAACGTAGTCGAACACAATTTGTTGCATAAATTTATTGATTTACAGTAAGTCGAGAGTGCTCTAGTCGGGATTGTCCGGCTGGGAGATAGAAGTCGCCTTTCACAGCCTCATACTAAGGGAAATACGTTATTAAGCAACTGCAGTGTTTACTTTCCGATTTCTGTGAAAGTTCGAGGCCTTAAATATGAAGTATCATTGTATGTATAAATTCAAAATTCAATTCTTTTAATTGAGGCAAATGGGAGAGCTATCTGAAAGGCGAAATATGTTGTGTTTCTAGGCTCTTATAAGCTTCGAAATATGCTCGAAAAGATTTCGATAACGATTTTGATCGATTTAATGAAAAGGGTTCAAGTTGTTCTGAATGGAACTTCAAAGTTTTTAGGTCTCCAGCTCTTAAAGTCTTCGGGATTGAATCATTTAACATGATTTGGTCGACTCGGCCTTTATACATTTTACTCAAACCATTTTATCCTATTTCAACATTGGGCTCGCCACGTTTTAATTACAATTTGTGATAAATATATTTTTCTTGATTTTTTCATTGTCACACGCTTCAAAGAAATGTGTCTTCTGCGCGGCCGTGCGTTGCGTTTTCTCTTTTCTTTTTTTTATGGCGCAAGCCGTGATATAAAATATAAAATCGAAAAATATGATAGCATAATAAAATGGGGAATTGTATGTGCCGCACGGCGGCGCGGATGCGCTAAGAAACGACCATAAAAGTTAACAGCGCGTCGGCTGAACCGCTTTTTAAGCCGGGTTAACCCCTGAACGCGGCCCCATCGACCAATGGGTATGACAAAATTTTTAAATTAAAATTGTTGCTGTGCCAACGCATGTGTGTGTGTGTGTGTGTGGGGCACAAACACCAATGATGGATCACATAAAAAAAATTTAGTGTTATTTTATTTTTATAACACAATGATTGTTTATCGAATGCGGACTTGGGGTAAGGGTATATGGATATAGTGTGTGTAAAAATGCCTGTCTCTGGTGTAATAAATTGTTGTATGCATAAATTTGTAACGTAACGCAGAGTTGTAGGTGCTTCAATCAAATATTTGGCACTATTAAATTAGCAACAAGTAAGACAGCTCGATTAGCAAATACCCTTACATAAAGTACTTAATAGATACATTATTTTAAAATATTAAGTTACGGTAGACTTTCTACTTTGATTTAAAGTCGTTAATTAGGGTATTTCAATATTTCAATAATTAAGAACTGAGTTTTTGATCTAGTTCTGACTTGAGAATAGTCAGTCGAAACATGACAGAAAGGGGACAACAGCGAAGCTGAAGCTAACATCATTCCCTTTTAGAGAGTATTATTATTTTGTCAGGCAATGTGTAAAAATCGGTCAAAAAATTTGTTTTTGCGTGTCGAAATGTGCGTCATTGTTCAAGATATCTTCATCAAACTAAGGTCTCAAAAGCTTCTATATTCTTCTCACGTTTCAAATCCAATTGAAACAACTTGTTTATAAAATAAGCTATATTAAATGAACTGAACCTCAAAGATCGAGCTTTAAATTGTCAGTTTAATTTATTTTGCATAGATTTAACTCATAGTAAGCATTTATATTAGTTTTGAACTTTCGGATGTGGACAATCTTGAAGGTATGCAAATATTTGCATATCCGACTGAAACCCTTTCCCATATACAAATTCAAGGCTTGTGAGTATTATTAAAACTCTCTTAGTGCTTAATTGTTTAATAAGGCACAGCAACAAAAGTATTATTTTAAGTAAGGCAAGCTAATAAGACTTATAAGAGGGGTATAGTCAATTTAAGCTCGCTTTTTCATGCCCCAGTAAGATATAGTCTGATTTTCGGTTAGCTCCAAGCCAACGCCTACTCTATTTATACCCTGCACCCATTAAAAATGGGTAACAAGGGTATATTGTTCCTGTGCAAATTTATGCAAAAGGAAGAAGGAAACATCTCCGAGCCCAATAATAAGAATATATATTCTGGATATAGACGATGAGTTGAGTTGATCATGTCCGTCTGTCTGCCTGCCTGTGTGAATTGTCGATTTCAAAAAACTACAAAAGCTGGAGACTTGACATTGATGAAGCTTATAGTTTTTTTTTGTCGATATCCTCTCGCACTAAACCAGGTTTCTTAAGCATAAGAACGAGAGAGGTTGTATTTGGTATGTTAGCAAATTTTATAAAGATCGGACTATTAGCACCGACGCTATCAAATTTCCCATGGTGTGGAGTTAAGTCTACCAAAGGGTATGTATGTATGTTCATTTAGAAGGAAGCTCATATGGGTAGATTGTCGCAGTGTTCAGGGTATCTCCAAGTCGGGCACCCGGAGGATTCTAACTTGTTTTTTATTTATAAGTTGGTTTTGCAAATATGTGTGATATATGTGTGAGCGCTGTATCTAGATGCTCCGCATGGACGACTTTAAAATTCAATAAATTTATGATTATCTTCGCTCGAGAAAAGGGAATCTAAGAATCTAAAAAAAAAATGCCGAATGCCGGCAAACTAATCTGAAAACTTTTGGTAAGAGACAAATTTGCATCCTTATATTTTTTTATGTGCTACGCGAAACACTTTTGACCTTTTGCTGACATGTGGAGGCGGATCCGGCCTCGCTTGTGTGTTGTTTTATTCCGGTGAAATGTAGAAATTGATAATCATATAAAGTACAATTTATGGCATTCTGTGGAAGTTGGCAAATAGGGGCAAACGCCAAAGGAACTGGCGCCTGTCTAAAAGTCGAGAATGTAAATATTGACATATGAGCAGCAACCGGGCACAATAATGCTACATTATTTAGACTTATTTGCGATGGCAGCTTTGATTTGTGCAGCCTCAGCTATATTTATGGAAATGAAAATGGGGCTGCTCCAACCACACTGCTTTAAGTTTTTTTATAAGTATATAAGTATATATATTCCACTTACACATGACATTCAGCATGAGCGAATCCTCGATGGCTGAGTTTTGTAATCGGGGATTTGAACCCTCACATTTGAGCATGGTGCCATCGTCTTCAGGCTGTGGATAAAATGACAAAGTGGATAGCACGCGTCCATTGCCCTGGCTCGTTGACAGCTACGTAAAAGATAGATAGTTAGAGAGAGAGAGGGAGAGAGAGAGAGAGAGAGCGGGAAGGATCACAATCCAGTTGAATAGAGTGAAATCGATTAGAAAAGTGCCCGCTCTGTGCTAGGTGGGCACAAGTGCAAGATATCAAAATGTCAATGGCAAGTCATAAATATGACATTTGCCTGACACATTTTGGTATATTTTGCTCGATTTTTGCTTTGCGAATGGCCGCTTACCGTGCCACGTTTGAAGGGTCGATTATTCTGTGTCCATCTGATTTCCGTATCCGGCACCGAACCGGCCACAATGCACGTAAGATTATATTGTGTGCTCGATGAGAATACCTTCAACTTGTTGGTCAAATTGACCGATGTCGGCTTCACTGCAAATTACAATTCAAGTATTAAAACTTGTATATATATCGTTTACTATATTCGTAGAGTAGCCGCACACTTACATAACATTTCAATGCGTATGCTGCGCTCGACGGGTGCCACCAGCTTTGTGTTGGACGCCTGACAGCGATAGGTGTTGTTGAGTGCCGCACGCGTTATTTGTGGTACCTCCAGTCGATTAACAGTTACATGACGGCCCATCGATATGCCGCTGCCAGCCTCCAGAGTCCTGGAGCCGTTCAGCCATGTGACAGTCGGCTCCGGTCGACCTATGGACGGGCATTGAATAAAAATTATGCAAATTGCAGACAGTCAAAACTGGAGAATAGACGCACACACACACACACACACACACACAACGCACTTAAATGAATATTTAATGCAAATATCATTTTTTTTTTTTATTTTGATTTGTTTGCTGGCAATAAAGTTTTGCCTCATGCATTATTAACTCGCAACTAACTTATTAAGCAGCAGCCGTGCAAACGGGCGCGGCGCCGCATTCGCAAAATTTATGGCCGAAAAGAACTTTACACATTTTAATGATAATGCGCATTTAGCAGTGTGTACCCAAGGCTTTTAAAAAAGGCTTAGCCAGCTTAACTAGCAAAGTTGTGGATCCATCCACCAACACCACCCTCCCCCGCCTCTCCCGCCAAAGTCCGGCAGCCGTATGAGCTGACCCTATCAACCCCCAAAACTTTGGATAGACAAACGCCAATGCCTGAATGTTAAATAAGCCAAAAAAAAAGGGGCAGACAAATTGCTTTTCGAATTTGAGAGGTCAAGCAAAAAAAACAAAACTAAATATATGCATTAAAAAAACATTATTTTTCACGTATATAAAATGTGAAATATTTAAAAACTAATCGAATGTGCTTTCAGTTTCTACATATGTTGTCTGTTAATAATTTATTATTGTAAACTATTTGCATATAGTTTAATTAATGGTTAGTTATATATTTTGACCTTTATATCATTTTCTTTTATGTCTTTTACTATCACCCATAATATCTTGTAACTTATATTAAATCAAACTAAATTTGTTTTCTGCTAGCATTTATTCTTATTGCGAGGAATGAAAGAGAATAAACCTTATAAATCGATTTTAATCACATTATCATCATTATTAATCATTAATATAAACTGTTCTTTTATTGATATAAACTCGAGTGGTCTCTGTTTGTTTTCAAATTATCCTTTGCTTTCTTTAATTTCACTTTCTATTACAGTAAAAGCGAATAGGGAAGATAGAGAGCATTACATTAACCCTTTGGCATGCCGAAGTTTAAATACACTTGCTGATATCAACAAATATTTTTAAAATATTCACAAAAGATTGTTTCTATATATAGATATTCTTTTGTCGAGCTATATCTGTATTGTATACAAAAAAGTTTGGCTTGAATAAATGACTGAGTTGAATGGGGATCAAAGCACTATAAAGAAAAAAAAATGATTCTTAAGGTAAAAATCAACATAATAAATGTGGCAACGGGCAACGCTGGGTAATTTCTTCTAATAATAGATATAAACTGCCAATATCACATAATCTTTTGTCGAGGTGTTCAAGGTATAATAGAACTCTTTTGTTATTTAAGTTAAGTGTTCTCATTTAACTCCCACTAACTAATAAGTGAGAGAGATTACTAAATATAACTTTTATAGATATAATTAATACATACACGTTTGGCATGTCTGTAGTCGTGTTTTATCTAGCCAAGTATCTGCTTTCTTCAATTTCATTCTCTGTCTGGCAAAAGTAATCGAAATTCTCCAACCTTTTTTTATTTTTTCTCTTCACGCCTAAAGCTGGCACCCTTAAGTAAAAGCATTTCATCCGCTGGCTCACATATCAAATGCACAAAATATTTTTAATCCGTTTAAGTGCCCTGAAACATTAGATGGCGGGGTGGCTGTGAGGGGACGCTAAGGGAAGGGCAGCTGTATGGTGGGCGGGGCTGTTGCTGAGCTGCAGCTTGGCCATTAAGTCAGCCAAGTGAATGTGGCGGAAATGAGCAACAATAGGAACAAGCAGACGAGACAGGCTTCGAGGAACGGGGGAGCCACACAAGTAGCTGTTAGTCGAGTGTGTGTGTTTGTGTGTGGTGGACGCCAGTTTGGGGAATTTGGTGCCCAAATGTTTGCTGATTGCAAAGGATACGCAGCGAGGACATTGGCGACAATAAGCCAAGTCAAGACACACAATGGCCATGAATGTGGCACGAAAAGTATGCAGGGATAATAGACAAATAACAGTTGCCTTGTGGCATTTAGCTGCTCGCATTATACTCGCATGTATGTGCCAGTACCCCCGTCGCCCCCTTCAAGTCCCTGGTAATCCCTTCAGTAATGAAGACAGCGCGCTGCTAAGCCATACTTAAGGTTGTCGACAATTGGTTGGGCAACTGCGTTTCAGCTGGACCATCAAATTATGCATAGCCTGCGTGGCCATAAAAATAGCTTGAAGATCGGGAGCTTTTATGTGTGTGCGCTTAGATTAGCTTTTTATTGCTGATATTAATTGCTATTAGTCGAAGTTAATAAAAGTTGATAAAGCAATTTGGCGTTTGCCGTTTATGATGCTGAGCCCGTTCGGCGCCCAGCTGGGCAATTATTCGGGAGCGCAACCATAAAAACCACATCAAGATTTGCATGCGCTTAACCTCTGGCCTTTGCCCTGCTCCCACAGCATGTGGCAAGCGTCTAGCAGCTAATATTAGTTAATTTGCCTAAGCGCTCAGCGCGGTGCCAGCTGCAGCTGGAAAATGAAATATGCATTTGCGAGCTGCCAGCTGCCAGCTGCCAGCTGCGCCGGGGGGCTGGCAACAAAATGTTGCATACAAATCACAGGCGAGCTGCCGCAGTCAGGCTACAGCCAAGGCGTCGCCCAGCAGGTGTCAAAATAGCAAATGTCGTCGGAGTTGTTAGAGTCGTGGCCCCTCTCTCCCACCACCCAACTGTTACCTGCTGGTAGCTACACTCTGCACTGCGGCTAATCAAAGCAGCCGGCGCGTTTGAGTACGTGACGCATTGCCAAAACCAAAACAAACCACACGGCAGCAAATGCCAAAGCTTCGAGTCACACAACCGAACCAAAATCCTTTACATGCAGAGTGCTGCACGTAAACAGCAGCAGGGTGAAGGCGGGGCAGTCGGCAGCATGTGGCACCAGGAGCTGGCAGCGTGTTACATTCAGTTGCACAAAGCCATAGCTAACTATTTGAGTAGTTCAAAGCAGGGATTTTCGAGGCACGGCTGTGGGTACACTGGCCGAAAAAAAATAACACCAACAAAATTAGTTCTAACCAAAGCAAAAACAAACTTGATCGAAAAACATTTTAACATCGGTCATACGGGATATTTGAGCCTGACTGCGGATATTTTGAAAAATTGCAAAGCAAAATTTGGACAGTTTCTGTTTTCCATTCGTCTTGATGTTGATGAGCTCTCTTTTTTGGGTGTTCGGTATATAGTAAAATTATTCAGAAATTCCTATTTCAAGAATGTTTTGAATACAAAAATCCTCGAATAGAAGAAGAATACTCAAATGGAATAATATTAAACAATTTAAACAATTTTTTACTGTCACTGAAAACCTGTCACGTTTGTTCAAGCTGGCAAACTTTTATTATTTTGCAAAACTTGGAAATAATAATGTCAAAGCCCTATTATAATTATATAAAAGATCAGCATAACTGAAAAATAAAAATGAATTTTAAATATTTGCTTGCTCTACGAACAACTTCGAAACAATTTCTCTGAGTGTACAGCGTCAGCAGCTAGTGCAAATCATTAAAGCATACGTTAAAGCTGCGCTGCCATACGGGGCGTATGCGCAATGCTGGTTGATTAAATTGTAAATTGATTGAATCGACACCTAGCAGGCTCTGCTTCTTTAGCTTTGCTTGAAATCGAGCCACAAATGAGCGTGCCAGCGCTTAAAGCTGCATCAGACGAATACCCCCTTTGAATCTGTGGAATATTCATCTGGCGTTCGTCTGGTGGGCATTCCCCCCCCCCAAAAAAAAAGAATATTGTTGTCAAAAAGTTAATGATTTATAATGTTCGTGTCAGGGCAGTCGGTGAAGCAGCAGAGCCTTTGCCAGCCAAGCGGCAAACCTTCAACTGGAGCCCTTGCGAGCTGCTTTAGTGAAGCGTGCAACTTGTACAAATTTTTCACACTTGCCCGCAAACAGAGTAAAAACTACAAAAATTAAGTAAGAGTGCTTCGACTAGGAGATGCCCTTACAAAAATACAAAATCATCTTGCAAGTCCCGAATATGCTTAAAAACTGGATATCGACATTGACTTTTATCGATATCTGGAGAACGAGGCAAGATATCGATAGAGTGGGACAATCTATATATGCACGTTTAATATAAGAAGCTACGTTTAGCATTTCATGTGTCTAGCTAGAATAGTTGACGAGATCGAAGAGTTCTTACGGACGGACGGACATGTCTTAGTCTTAGTTATGGATTTGCTTTTCTTCGTCTGTTACATGCGCTTACACGCAACATTATACCCTTCTGTCCATTTGCAAATGGGTTCAGGGTATAGAAAACCAAAAACTTACGCCCATGAACGCAGTCGTTTCACCTTGGGACCTTTTTAAAGATTTACGATGCCGCATATGCCTACAGGTCACACACAGGCGACGCTGCGACAAAAGCCAGACGCTAGAAAATTGTTGCATTTTTCAAACTAAAGTGGCAATGACAGCCGCAGCCGCAGTCGCAGTCGCAGTTCCTGTGGCAGTTGCTGTGGCAGCAGCAGTTACTGTCTGGCCGGCGCCTCGTTGACACTGTCACCGCAGACTCTGACATACATTTATTTTTATTATTTACGACGACTTAGGCCATGCTTCGACTGCGTCTCAAACGCAGGCCCTGGGCCCTGGGCAGCGTGTGTGCGCGCGTGTGTACCTATCTGCGGTGCCTCATCTTTAATTCTTTAAATAGACTCACGGCCGGGCGGCACTGGGGCAATGTTGCGTGTGGCACTGCTTGTCAGCCTTGCTTGATAGCCTTTTGTTTGAGTGCTACATTTAAGTAGCTGACTGTGCGTGTGCCTGTGTGTGTCGTGTCTGTGTCTGTGTCGTTTATCATGATTTACTTACCGCCACGCACTTCACATGTCAACACAATATTATCGCCCTCGAGCAATGGACCCACAGCGCCAGCCACATCTCGGCCTGAGGCATCATACACGAGTATCTGATGCGGAGGAACTGCGAAGAGAGGGGGTGTTTTTTGGGTGGCATATTCGTATCGTATATTGCATTTGCAGTTGCCGTTGTAGCTAGCTTACCAATGACCGTTAAATTAATTCTATGATTGCGCGTTGGCGAGTTCTGAAAGTCCACGCGACAGCGATAAACCTGTTGACAAAAGCCCAAAAAACATTAGAGCAGAAAGGGCAGCAGAAATAATAAAGCATACTTTATGGGGTCGGGACAGCTTAGGGGTGGAGTGGGTTACAGTAAGATTGGGTATTACTTACGCCCTCATCGTCCAGCTGTATATTTTCCACAGATAATTTCGCTGGCTGCTGTCCGGTAACAAAATACGCACGTGGCCCAAATGAGTTGGTATCTGACCAGTAGAGCGCCTTCTCAAAGGGCCGCCCGCGCACATCAAAGCTGCAGGAAGCAAAAGAGAAAAAATTTAAAGATATCAAGTAAAAAAAGATATTTTTGTTATTTTTGGAAGAATAATTGCACAAAAATATATATAACAAGTTCTAGTCGGGAGCTCCGGCTAGTGGATACCCTGAACCCTCTTCTTCCAACATCAAATGCATATATACATATATTCTATTTTTGAAGCTATATGTCAAGTTTGGTGACTCTAGCTCTTATTATTTACCAAAATTTCCCAAAATACAGGATATCGATATCGATTATTATCGATTGCTTGGAAACGGAGTAAGTTATCGATTATCGGAAACAAACTCGATCTGCGCGGGAACTGGGAGCATCTACATCTAAAATTTCAAGTCTCTAGCTCTTATGCCTATGATCCTTGCGTTCATACATACGGACGGACGGACGGACGGACGGACAGACTAGATCGACTCGGCTATTGATGCTGATCAAGAATATATTACTTTATGGGGTCGGAGATGCTTCCATCTGCCTGTTACATACATTTGGATTTTGCACAAATACAATATACCCTTATACCCATTTTTAATGGGTTCAGGGTATAATAATGTACATTTCTATAAGTACGTATTGGCGATAAGTTGCCTTTCGCAGAAGGTCGTAAATTGAAATGCGCTTTGCTGTATTTTGGTATAGGGGCTGCTTTAGGGTCTCCTTTAGGGGCTGTTTTAGGGACTGTTACGGTTGCCGCACGTGGCCGGAATCGATCGACTTTATTCTATTTAACCTTAGTGAATGGAATTTTTTGCGGCACAAACTGGAACATTTGCAGCAATAAAATGTTGAGCAAATGTTTTATTTGCATACGCTGTCCGCAATGCCTAAACGAGTATATTGGCTTTGTGTTACGGATGGACAGTCATATGGACTCTGTTTAGTTTGCGAAAGAGCATAAAATTCCAGTACTCCACTGTTTTATAGCCAATGTCAGTGGGTTACAGTATTAGTTGCACTGACCCTTCAATCTGTAAAGCTGCTTTTGAACCTTGTTTGACTGTTATAGAGCATAGCTGAGCCGGTCTTTATCGTTGTTAATTTGTTTAAAAATGTTTGTATTTATTAACATCTGCTAAAAATATACATTTTCACTATTAACTTTCACAAAAAAACCATTTCAATCAAAGAATATGCAAATGTGCACAGTTGAATATTTCCTTTTTTGCATATGAACAAAGAAATTTTAACTATTAATACTATTTTACCTTTGAATTTAAATAAAATACTTTATTGAGTGAAAAAATGTTTTAATTATTTATGAAAAAAGCCTATGAAAAGAATATAATGATTTTTTGTAAGTGTGTGGAAAAGACAAAGGAATATGTAAAGTATATTTAAGTTGATCTGCCAAAAGACTACATTATAGCTATGTATGTTAGTTCTTCCATCAGTTGGTCTCTTAGATCTCCGAAACAGACTTGAAAACATTTTTTTTTCTATATATACTCACACTTTCATAATATCGATCAAAGTCGATTTGCAGACAAGGTTTTTTAACCCTAACTCGTATTACTCGAAAATTAGAGGAGACTATGTGAGTTATATGAGTAGATTCTCGCCTAGTTTATATAGATTCAACGTATTTCCCTTTTTAAATATATATCGCGCTTAACTTTCAACAGCATGTAAAACCTTGCAATATGTACACACAGATTGGACTCTAAGGGCCGAAGTTAATTATATAGTTTGTTGCCAAAGGAAAGAAAAATATATCCCAGTCGGCCTTGCCTTGGTAACGGAACTGTTCTTCCAGCCTAAGCCGTGTCTGTTGTAGGACCTTAAGGTAAATGCATAATAAAAATGGTTGCTCAATTTAGCACATTTTTCAATTTAAATGTTTTGTAACTGCGACATTTGATGATGGTGCGCCCCTGCCCCCTGGCTCACCCGCCACCCTAAGTCTGTCGCATTGCTAGGCCAATAAAAAAGAATCGTTAGAAAATGTTGAAAAGTAGCTGCGGCTTTGTGGTATGTGGACAGGGTCTGAAATTTCACGCGTCTACAAAATGACCCTTTTCCTGTATGCCAGGCTGACCGAAAACCTTTGAGCATAAATTTGCACGCAACTAATTTCTTCCGTTTCGCATTATTTTCGCAGCTCGAGCTGGCAACGTTTGCAATTTTGCGCATTAAAAAGCCTGACGTGCTATCTTTGCCGCTTTTTATTGTATTTCTTAATGTCCGTTCGAGGGTCGAAGGTGGTGGAGGTGGTTCCCCTGCCAAAGTAACAACTGCAAAGCAGCAACAGACCAGACGCCGAGTGCCGCAAATGACTTGGCAAAAGCAAAGACAGGACCCTCTGTGCACAGACAGCACAAGTTGTGTCCTTTTGTTGTTTCCGTTCTTGTCGCCATTTGTGTGACTCCTGTTGTTGTTGTTGTCCTCTTGCTTTTGCTGCGCTTGCGGTTAGTCGAGCGGTTTGTCATTGTGCCGGCTGCCTGGCAGCAGAGAGTATTGTTTGCGCATTTAAGTGGTTTTTTATCATTTTGCCGCTGACACAATTTATATCCGGTGCTCATATTTCTTATGCTTATCATGAGGCGTCTTTTGCCGCGCCCCCCTCACCCTCTACCCCTCTGTGCCATGCCCTCGCCGCACCTTATGCTGTGAGCTGCGTCATGTGTTGACCAGGCAAACATTTCTAATTATTGTTGAAATGCAGTAACCCATGCGGCGCATCAATTAAGGCACGCCCCTCCAAAGCCGAGCTTAAGCCGCTTTCTGGCTCAAAGCACGTTCCCTAATTAGCCTAATTAAATATATATATTCGCGAATATGAAAACAAAATGCGCAGTTTAATGATTTACGCACTCGACAGCAAAACGAAAAAAAAATTTAAACATAAGCATAAATGCGTTTGTAAAGAGTGTTCGACTGGAAGATGACCTATCTTTTGTATAAACGAAAATAATAAAACAAACAAATATTGCTTAATAAAATACATATATGTCTATATGATATGTGACATACCTAGAATATTTTCATTGGACAAGATGTGTTGTAAAATCGTGGGACTTTTCATGTATGATCGAGACAAATAGAGCATTTATGCCATGAAAAGAGACAGGGAGAGGGAGGCAGGGACAGCGATAGAGATGGATAGATAGAATGATATATAGATAGATAGTTAGAGATAGATCAAACGAGAAAAAGATACATATAGATTAAGAGAGAGAGAGAGAGAGAGAGAGAGAGAGATAGATAGAAATAGATAAAGAGAGAAAGATACCGATAGATAGATAGAGATACCTTAAGAGAGAGAGAGATACATTGAGAGAGAGAGAGATATATATATATATAGAGAGAAATTGAGGTATATACAGATAGAGCTTTATACCAAAGCGAGAAGGGGAATAATAAAGAAGACAAGAAAGACTTTCGGACTCGAGAACATAGACATGTAGAGGTACGAATATGCCAAAAATATGGCACTGCAATAAACTTACACTTCCCGAGCTCCTGCGACTGTTACATACATTTGCAGAACATTAAGAGAGCCATCACAATTAATATGTACAGGGTATGCCAAGTAGTTTTAAACGCTGAATCTCAGACGTCGCAGCTGATTTTAATTTGGCGTCTACGTAAACAATAGAGCAACGCCGACTAGTCAACAAAAGGGAACAACAACAACAGCAGCAGCAGCAGCGATAAGGCAAGGTGCGGATTGGCCAGGCTGTTCCGTCCTCTTCGGTTTTAGCCAAAAGTGACTTGGCATGACCCAGGCTAGGCGCGCGGTTGACGTTGTGTTTTCTAGTTGTTGGCCTTAGGAAACAATAATGCCAAGTTTGCACAATGAGCAAAAGCGAAAGGCAGCAAAAAAAAAAAAACAAAAAAACAAGAGAAAGAAAAAGAATAACGCTGGAGCAGTAAAAATTGTAAAGAAAATGGTCAAAGGAAAAAGGAAAATAGAAGTGGGCCAAGCGCGCACGCCGGCAGGAAAAACGTAGACACGACAACATTGTGGCAGTTGCAGAAATGTTGACTGTCGTCGGTTTGTGGCCAAGTGGCCGGACTGGACAGACGTGCGCGTCTGTCCATTTTGAAGAGTTTGCCTAGGGTCCAACCTCAGCTCAGACTGATGCTCGTTCATTTCTTTTGTCCGCACGCCCACTTTGTCCCACTCTCAAGCTCTGTGTTTGTTTTTTTTTTTTTGTTTTGTTTTTTTCCAACAATTAGTTGAGTTTTATTTATTTTGCGTTAATTGGTAGCACTTTATCTTCTGCTCGAATGAATGAGCCACGTTATTTAAACAAAACGAGCGCGCAAATCCCTCGAAGACCTTCTGGACATGGCCAAGTAATTACGTTTTTGGCAACGCCCAAGGTCTAAACGCATATGTTGGAAGGATCACGCTCCCCACCTTAATCCAATGTATATATATATATGTGTGTGTGTGTGTGTGTATAAAGGGGCTTCTCATATTGCCATTTAATGTTTTTGCCTTTTTATTTTGCAACGCTTACGAAATGCTATTCAAAAAAATTGCAAAAGGGCTGCACGGGGGAAGGAAACGCTACAAAATAAGGGTCCAAAAACTTTTAACACTGTGTGTGTGTGTGTGTGAGTTGATGACGTTGACAATAACCATTGAATAATTTTATGACAATATGTGTCACAGCGAGTCCCTGTCCATATCCTGGCGGCTTCGTGTGGCTGATGGTATTTTTTTGTTGTTGCTTTCTTTTTTGACAGTTTAAACACATGTCCCCCACCACCGCCTGGCGGGTGTGGGACACAAAAAAAAAAAACTGTTGACTTCAATTATGCAGCGCCAGACAAAAGTCGGTAAACTATGAGGGCGTGTACAAAGGCCCTCAGCTGCTGCGTGTCCTGGTGTTTGTGGTGCCCGTAACTGGCGCAACTTCTGCCATATTAGGCAGGTGGAAATTGCTTGGGACTGTGACTGGCAGCCCGTATCAAATTATGTGCTCCTGCCACAACAAAAAACAAAAAAAAAAAATATGGAGTGCGATAAA